AAGCTCAGTCGCAGGTGTATTTGTAACAAGGGATATAGCAGAGGTTGACGAATTCATCGTTCCTGAACCAAATGATGCATTATAGCTATTTCCAACATCCTTCAAGTCATATTCGTTGCCGTCTGCCACCGATTTGTAATCAGACAGAGAGTGCACTTTATTTTTTTTCACTTTCATATCAGGGGAATTCATTGGAATACCCAGGCTGCCAACCTTGGGCCCACGTGGGACTGTTGTTCTAATGTATGAATATTCCTTTGTCATGGTAACGGTTTGTACTCGGGGCAGTGAATCTGGGTTTAACATCAAGTCTGGATCAAGTGTACTGATTTGCCGGCCTTTTGGTGAAGTCTTTGTCAACTGTTAGAAAAAAAAAGACAGAGATTAGATGTTTAAACGTCAAAGTTATCCTGCTGAAAAGAAAATTGAGCCAGTGCTCATTTCCTGCTTACATCCCTGAGCAAGTGGTGGTCATTCCACATTCTTATGGCAGGGGTTGTCTCTCCATATCTCCATAGGGCAACCACTATTCTTCACCACAAGGTGGTGCTCATATCATTCACCCCCAAGGGATGACAGGCTGCGTCAACCCCCAAGCAGGATTTTAACTCGAAACCTTCCGATTGTGAGCCACTCGACTGCTGAGCCACTTGGTCAGTTACATAGGCACACTCAATAACAGATACCTACTTGCATCTTTCACATAATGCAAATTAAGTGGTGCATGAAATATTGTTTGTTTTAATTTTCTAAGTTCACAAACGTAAATGACTTTTTTTATCTCAAATGTCCATATTATAAACATATATACTGCTGGAAATACTGCTTATGACCCAATCACCATGAATGCACGTTATCTCACGAGGTCTCAGAAGCTAAGAGAAAGAGTGAGCCTGGTTCGCATATGTATGGTATACTGCCAGGAAATACCAGGTGTGGTCAGCTTGTGCTGCGAGGATGCTGGGAAACAGCAGTCCAGAAATTGATTCTTGAATCTCTGTGGAGCTTGAGCCCTTCCCAATCAAACGTTTGGGGTTTCTACAGACACTCTAGTTTCCTCCTATAAACCAAACCCTCACAAATGGAATTGACTGTCGAAAGAAAGTTGTGAGACCCAGTGAGGATTTTCCTGTGTAAATAAGGGACATTATTGTTATCTACTCAGGTAGCAGTATAAATAGCCAATACGCTGCTTAAATCGCCAGTCAGTTGCTGAAACATCTCATAAGGCTTACCCGACCAGTACGCTGTTTTACGCGATACTGATGCAACTGTTCTTCGAGCTGTTTCTGTGCTTTGGCCTTGATCTGTCCTTCATTTTGATCTTTACCAATGGGCATCTCTTGCGCTGCAGAAACAAATAAACTGTTAATATTTACGCTTATATGTAAGGAAACTCAAACAAGCATAACAATAAACAACAACACTGAATAAATGCAATATCTTACTGAAGATAGTTTCTTGGAGTAGAAGGCTTTGCCTGAGTGACTGAAAAGCTTCACTTGTGTGATGAACATTACTGACATACTCCTCTGCCTTGTCATCAGTAGCTTGGGTCATTTCAATGTCCTCTGTACGATATCCATTTGTGTCTGTAATAAATGTGTAGGGGACTGTTACAAATGCACAGCTGTTAAACTAAACAATGGTATACGTAACAAATATTCACGAAATTCGCCTCCTTCACATATTTGTCCCTCCTCATACATATTTAAGAATTTTCACACATTCCATCAGCTGTACAGACTTCTGGGAGCCCATCAACACTTGGTTCAAAACAAACATTCAGTGCCTCAGCAGCAGTGAGGCTTGCTTGAACCAATGCTGGCCTACTGCCAGATGTTTAAAGGAGAAGGCAGTTTTCTGAGCTGGGAATCTTGAAAATGTCTTCTCCTAAGCTTTCACTATGCGCTACTGAGGTATCTTCAGATAAGTACCGTAGTATATTAAGTTCCTGCCTGCAGTAGTGTGCAGCTCGACCCGCTAAACCGCACTCGGACTTGAAGCGGCTGCAGAAAACCTACAGAGTAAACTATCTTACTTGGAAGAAAACATCTGAAACAAAACATCGTGCACAATGAGATGGGCACTTTCATTCTGGAGATGTTAATATTTCCACAGCATGAGCAGTTGCACCAGGGCCCGAAAGAGGCCAAAGAAAAAGCACTGTACCCTTGAAGACGAATGAGCTATCGGTGAAAACTGGGACCCAAAAACATCTGAAGGTAATTTTATACAGTTACTAGCTTTACTACCCCGCTTCGCCCGGGACTGGGATTCTTTGCTTGGATCAATTTCATATTCCCTTATATTTCACTGAAAAACCCTGATAAAAAAATTGATGCTTGCAAGAAAGAAAAAAGCCGAAACAAATACATTTAACTCGGACGATTTTCACTGAAGGAAATTCAACCTTAACCCACTTATACGCAAGGTCGATTTTGGCAACTCGGGAATGGAATGACGTGGCTAGCTGAAAATAGTCGCGTTCCCTTAGAAATTCCAGACAGCGTGAGCTGTGCAAATTTCATGACGTCAGAGCTCAGCGTTCGAGAGTTTTTTGCTTGCTTCAAACAAACACAGATGTATTTTCTGCTTTATATTTAAGAGCGAGCTGAAAACAGTCGCGTTGACTTAGAAAATCGAGACAGCTCTGCCGCGCATTTGTGCGGGATACACGGCCTACGCGGAGGGTTTGTGGGGGGGGGGGGATGCGTGACGTCAGCAGGCACACTGCGTGACGCTGCCGCATGCGGGTGACATCACAGATGTGACGTCACCGCTCACTTGCCGTGCAAAATATATCCATTATTGCTCCCCCCCCCCAAATATTTTTATACTTTTTGCATTGTGTACAGTCTGGAAACTACCCACGTGCCAAAATTCAAGTTTGTTGCATGTTGGGAAGTACGCTAAACATTTCGAACAGACACACATTCACAAATTTCCCTTTTATATATGTATGTATTGTAAATTAAACCAATTTTTGTTTTAGTCTTTTTTCGGAGCAATTTTGAAAACAAAAAATTATAATTGTGTCCACTGCTGTGAATGTGACATACCAACAGCGCAGGGTAACGAGGAATCTGAGGCAGCGCCATTCTGCCCGTGTGAAGACGTCTTCTCCCCGGCCTTCGCGCCGACATCATGATCGGCGAGGCCACTTGAGTTAACCTCGGCCATCGGAAGCACTCTTTCCAGATATATTTCGCTGTACTTCCAATTGCCAAAAGCATTTGTTTCAATTGCGTGGATTTACTGAAGTTGGATGTTGTTGTTGTTATTTTTTTCTTGTCCCATCGAAGACCATGCTCTACACAGAAGATTAAGATCTGTTACAAAAACAAAGAATGACAATGGGTCAACTATGTCCGACACCAACCAGACACTAGTCAGCCTTCAGCAAGTTTGCATGACATTGTATTTTTTTTATTCGAGACGCTAGTGGTATTTTAGGGCTGAATACATGGCAATCCTTAAACAACTATGTTTTTCAACAATACTACACTATAAATTTGCATTAAGAAAATGGCCCAATTAGGTGAGTGCACAGATGATTTTCTCAGTGACAGTAAACCATGTTACTTTAATTAACATCCTGTTCATCACACATGTTTTATACAAACATCTCAACCTTTATAAAAAAAATTGTTCTGGTTCCAAAAAAGCACTCGTATATCATGTGCTGTATTTTAAAACACTTTTATTCAGTCTGTCTTCGGAGCTGATTTCAATACTTGATATAAAAATGTTTTTATTTTAAATAGAAAACATTCCACAGTCATTTAGCAATACATAACAAAACCCATGCCAATTTTAGTTGGCACAATTATGGTTTGGTTTAATGTTTTAGAATCGTTTCCACACTCATAAGCCGAGGGCACTGGTAATGTTTAATTTTAATTTACTCCTCAAAATATTCGTGTCCATTGACACACAGAGCGATCACGACATGACACTTCATACCGAACACTTATACAGTATGCATTTATGCAATGATCACACTCTATAAAACACGAATACTTCATTAAATTATTCACACTGCAGGTTCATACACGGGAAGGCTCGAGGCAAGAGACGAGGGACACGTGGGGACAACGGAGACACTGAGACGCGCAGACCGAGACACTGAGACAGGGAGACACTGAGAGACACTGAGACAGGGAGACACTGAGACAGGGAGACACTGAGACAGGGAGACCGAGAGATACTGAGACAGGGAGACACTGAGACAGGGAGACACTGAGACAGGGAGACCGAGAGATACTGAGACAGGGAGACACTGAGACAGGGAGACACTGAGACAGGGAGACCGAGAGATACTGAGACAGGGAGCGACCTGGAGCCCCTGAGACAGGGAGACAGGGAGACACTGAGACAGGGAGACACTGAGACAGGGAGACACTGGGACAGGGAGCGACCTGGAGCCCTCGAGACACTGAGACAGGGAGACACTGAGACAGGGAGACACCGAGACAGGGAGACCGAGAGATACTGAGACAGGGAGCGACCTGGAGCCCTAGAGACACTGAGACAGGGAGACAGGGAGACACTGAGACAGGGAGACACTGAGACAGGGAGACACTGAGACAGGGAGACAGGGAGACACTGAGACAGGGAGACACTGAGACAGGGAGACACTGAGACACTGAGACAGGGAGACAGGGAGACACTGAGACAGGGAGACACTGAGACAGGGAGACACTGAGACAGGGAAACACTGAGACAGGGAGACACTGAGACAGGCAGACACTGAGACAGGGAGACACTGAGACACTGAGACAGGGAGACACTGAGACAGGGAGACACTGAGACAGGGAGACACTGAGACAGGGAGACACTGAGACAAGGAGCCCTCGAGACGGGGAGACACTGAGACAGGGAGACAGGGAGCGACCTGGAGCCCTCGAGACGGGGGGAACCGCGCAGGCCACGGCGACTTCGCTACGTGGATCCTGCGCGTCCGAGGCGGAAGTGGCGTCAATACGCGTGACGTCAGATGTTGTGTTGCGATGCGGAAGCGGCGGATTTGTTTCACTTCCGGGTGGCGACTGGCTTCCACGTGCGCGTCACGTGGAGGGGAACGGGGAGCGGAGGAGAACTGGTGAGAGTAGGGTCCTCTTGTGAGTAGGGGTCCTGGTGTCTGTAGGGGTCCTGGTGTGAGTAGGGGTCCTGGTGTGAGTAGGGGTCCTGGTGAGAGTAGGGGTCCTGGTGAGAGTAGGGGTCCTGGTGAGCGTAGGGGTCCTGGTGAGAGTAGGGGTCCTGGTGAGAGTCGAGGTCCTGGTGAGAGTCGGGGTCCTGGTGAGAGTAGGGGTCCTGGTGTGAGTAGGGGTCCTGGTGAGAGTAGGGGTCTTGGTGAGAGTAGGGGTCCTCTTGTGAGTAGGGGTCCTGGTGAGAGTAGGGGTCCTGGTGAGAGTTGAGGTCCTGGTGAGAGTAGGGGTCCTGGTGAGAGTAGGGGTCCTGGTGTGAGTAGGGGTCCTGGTGAGAGTCGGGGTCCTGGTGTGAGTAGGGGTCCTGGTGAGAGTAGGGGTCCTGGTGAGAGTAGGGGTCCTGGTGAGAGTAGGGGTCCTGGTGTGAGTAGGGGTCCTGGTGAGAGTCGGGGTCCTGGTGTGAGTAGGGGTTCTGGTGAGAGTAGGGGTCCTGGTGAGGGTAGGGGTCCTGGTGAGAGTAGGGGTCCTGGTGTGAGTAGGGGTCCTGGTGAGAGTAGGGGTCCTGGTGTGAGTAGGGGTCCTGGTGAGAGTCGGGGTCCTGGTGTGAGTAGGGGTCCTGGTGAGAGTAGGGGTCCTGGTGAGAGTAGGGGTCCTGGTGAGAGTAGGGGTCCTGGTGTGAGTAGGGGTCCTGGTGAGAGTCGGGGTCCTGGTGTGAGTAGGGGTTCTGGTGAGAGTAGGGGTCCTGGTGAGGGTAGGGGTCCTGGTGTGAGTAAGGGTCCTGGTGAGAGTAGGGGTCCTGGTGTGAGTAGGGGTCCTGGTGAGAGTAGGGGTCCTGGTGAGAGTCGGGGTCCTGGTGACAGTAGGGGTCCTGGTGAGAGTAGGGGTCCTGGTGAGAGTAGGGGTCCTGGTGTGAGTAGGGGTCCTGGTGAGAGTAGGGATGTTACGTCAGGACAACTGGTCTGTCAGTTGACCAGTGGCATAGTTTTATCAGACTAAGTTGTTACGCCCTGCCTACGACGTCTTAAGGGTAATTACTTATGGTTATCACTCCTGCACGTAAGGTATTTCCACGCGCTAGAATATAAGGTAATTTGGAACTTTTTGCTAATTGAAAAAAAACTGCTTTTTTTAATCAACATTTGTGTGCAGGTAGCGAACGAATTATGGAGCCCGACCAAGTAAAGGATCTTCTTGGATTTTTGCAACAACAAACACGGCCAGACCTAAAATCTCAAGTAACGCAGTACCTGCTGGGGTTAACTTCCAGCGCAGAGGGCAGAACCATGCTAGCCAAGGAGAAGGCCATCATTGAAGCCTTGAACACTTTGATCAAAGACCCATCCCTTTCCATCGTTAGTGATTACTTTAATATACTGATAAATCTATCGGCGGATGAGTCGGTGTCTGATGTATTTATGACTAATATACCAGTGTCTTTGCTGTTGTCCAATATGCTAAAACCAAATTATCACTTTTCAGAACAAATATGTGCCATTTTATCAAATTTAACACGAGACGAAAGGGTGTGTAAACATGTTTTAGATATCATTAATGCAAATGACACTGGGTTAACTGGAATTTTAGATCTTTTTTTCAATGAAGGTTTAAACAAAAACGGAAAATTGCATTACCTTGGCCCCCTTATGTCCAATCTCAGCCAACTTCAAGAGGTACGCCGCTTCCTGCTTGACAGAGATAGGTGAGTAGACGTTTCCACGTTCTGCAAGCCATGTAATATTGTTTATGCTGATTGTGCCGTGTTGTCATATCACCTTACCATGCGGAACTGACCACGTGCAGTTGTTTTTAAATTGTTCATGTTTTTTTTGGCTGTAACCAGGTATCTTGTGTAACCAAGTCCCCATTAAAAATGTGCATTGCCCCATAGGTGTTTACCCTTGCCAAAAAAAACATCTATTAATTGCTCCATGTCTTATGGGTGTCATCACATTGCTCGCTTGTTTTATTGTAGAGATGCCATTCAACGATTTCTACCATACACTCAGTATGAAGCATCGTCAGTGCGAAGAGGCGGTGTGGTCGGTACTTTGCGCAACTGCTGCTTTGATCACGGTATGAATATCAATCAAACATTAATCAATCAAAAATAATTTAGTATAGCACCCTTCACACTAAAATTGTCCAGAGCACTTCACAGATGGGCACATTAAAACGTATATAACATTACATCAATTAAGTAATATTACAGTACAAATACATGCTAGAGAGATCAATGCAACAGGTTTGTAATGTACATGTAGTTTACATATAATTAACATACAGGAAAGGCAACTGCAAGTTTTTTTTTAATGGGAATTTTGTAACATAGCAAATTATACACGGTCGTCATTTTGTGTTCAGAACATCACGAGTGGCTCCTTGGGGAGCACGTGGACATACTTCCCTTCCTGCTGCTGCCACTAGCCGGTCCAGAGGAGCTGGATGAGAAGGACATGGAAGGTACTGACGTAACGCGTGGGCTTACGCGGCCAATTTAAAGATGTATAATTGATGTTTGGATTAGTTTACATCATATGACCAAGTTGGTCTCGTTATTAAATTGTCACGACCAAATGTTTTAATTGGATATGAATGTGCTACATTTAGTTGTGAGAATTGTTCTTCAACTTACTGGTTGAGTTGAAACAATGAGATAATGCTGGTGTCTTGTCATTTCAATATTTTAAGAAAATATAAAAGTTATACAGTGAAGGGAAAAAATATTTGATCCCCTGCTGATTTTGTACGTTTTCCCACTGACAAAGAAATGATCAGTCTATAATTTTAATGGTAGGTTTATTTGAACAGTGAGAGACAGAATAACAACAAAATCCAGAAAAACGCATGTCAAAAATGTTATAAATTGATTTGCATTTTAATGAGGGAAATAAGTATTTGACCCCCTCTCAATCAGAAAGATTTCTGGCTCCCAGGTGTCTTTTATACAGATAACGAGCTGAGATTAGGAGCACACTCTTAAAGGGAGTGCTCCTATTCTCAGCTTGTTACCTGTATAAAAGACACCTGTCCACAGAAGCAATCAATCAGATTCCAAACTCTCCACCATGGCCAAGACCAAAGAGCTCTCCAAGGATGTCAGGGACAAGATTGTAGACTTACACAAGGCTGGAATGGGCTACAAGACCATTGCCAAGCAGCTTGGTGAGAAGGTGACAACAGTTGTTGCGATTATTCGCAAATGGAAGAAACACAAAAGAACTGTCAATCTCCCTCGGCCTGGGGCTCCATGCAAGATCTCACCTCGTGGAGTTGCAATGATCATGAGAACGGTGAGGAATCAGCCCAAAACTACATGGGAGGATCTTATCAATGATCTCAAGGCAGCTGGGACCATAGTCACCAAGAAAACAATTGGTAACACACTATGCCGTGAAGGACTGAAATCCTGCAGCGCCCGCAAGGTCCCCCTGCTCAAGAAAGCACATATACATGCCCGTCTGAAGTTTGCCAATGAACATCTGAATGATTCAGAGGACAACTGGGTAAAAGTGTTGTGGTCAGATGAGACCAAAATAGAGCTCTTTGGCATCAACTGAACTCGCCGTGTTTGGAGGAGGAGGAATGCTGCCTATGATTCCAAGAACACCATCCCCACCGTCAAACATGGAGGTGGAAAAATTATGCTTTGGGGGTGTTTTTTCTGCTAAGGGGACAGGACAACTTCACCACATCAAAGGGACGATGGACGGGGCCATGTACCGTCAAATCTTGGGTGAGAACCTCCTTCCCTCAGCCAGGGCATTGAAAATGGGTCGTGGATGGGTATTCCAGCATGACAATGACTCAAAACACACGGCCAAAGCAACAAAGGAATGGCTCAAGAAGAAGCACATTAAGGTCCTGGAGTAGCCTAGCCAGTCTCTAGACCTTAATCCCATAGAAAATCTGTGAAGGGAGCTGAAGGTTCGAGTTGCCAAACGTCAGCCTCGAAACCTTAATGACTTGGAGAAGATCTGCAAAGAGGAGTGGGACAAAATCCCTCCTGAGATATGTGCAAACCTGGTGGCCAACTACAAGAAACGTCTGACCTCTGTGATTGCCAACAAGGGTTTTGCCACCAAGTACTAAGTCATGTTTTGCAGAGGGGTCAAATACTTATTTCCCTCATTTAAATGCAAATCAATTTGTAACATTTTTGACATGCGTTTTTCTGGATTTTGTTGTTGTTATTCTGTCTCTCACTGTTCAAATAAACCTACCATTAAAATTATAGACTGATCATTTCTTCGTCAGTGGGCAAACGTACAAAATCAGCAGGGGATCAAATACTTTGTTCCCTCACTGTATATGAATTATAATCGAATGTGAGAACGGTGGTTCCCAACCTGTGGCGTGGTCCACATGGTTTGTGAAAAGTGATCCACTGATCTGCTGCATATGCTACGATTTAGTGATTGTAAAGCTATTTTTTTGCTGTACGGTCATCTGCGAACAATTTTGTGAGAGTTTACAGTGACAGTCTGTGGGTCGATAAAGGTTGGGAACCACTGAGGTTACGACTCTCAGTTTCTTTTGGATTTTTCAAGTGAGTGAAATGACAGTTCAATGTAGTTATACATCGTCTGTGCTTTCAGGCAGGAAATAGTTATTCATTTGAAAAGATGGTTGAATGTAACATTAACGGTACATTTTATCTGCGAACATTGTTACTTTCAGGGCTACCAATTGATTTGCAGTACTTGCCAGAAGACAAGCAGCGAGAGAATGATCCGGACATAAGACGGATGTTGATAGACACCATCATGCTGGTAACTTCTGCGCAGTTTATGCCATCGTACTTTTTTCACTTTGAACATCATTTACATGACCACCAACGATTGAAAGACTGCTGCAACACATAATTGCGTGGAAGTGATAATTGTTCCCAAAATGTATGGTGAGATGACTTTAAAACCTGGCACTTCGTAAACATCGAACCACTGGAATCTTGGGTATTGTAACACTAAATACAAAACACTTAAAAAACGCGTTCAAAGATTGCCGTCGATTAGGCTGACACATGTAAACTCTGCATCCATTCCACACTTAACTGCTATTAAAATCCCTGTGGCTTCATTGTAATGAGCAGGGCCTGTGGACCCCATGCAAGGGCTCTCACTCTCTACTTCACGAGTGGGTACAGATATCTTTTTGGTCTTCAGACTAAAACGGGCTTGTGAAATCAGCCTTTCAAAATCCGAACAAGTTGCTTTCAATTCTAGATTTAAAGCTTTCGTGACTGCAAGGATCCATACTCTTTGGTTCTATTCGGTAAAGTCACGTAGGTAAAAAATAAAACAAATCACGACGTTTCGGCCACAACACAAGCGGGATCAGGCTGGCCTGGGGCTGGCCTGATCCCTTCACCTGATGAAGGCCGCTTGTGTTGTGGCCAAAACGTCGTGATTTTTGTTTTATTTTTTACCTACGTGACTTTACCGAATAGAACCAAAGTTGCTTTCACTCATTTATGATCTTCAAACAAATCCATTTATCTCTATGGAGATAAAAAAAAATCACGTTTGGTTAAATGTATAGTGTTTTATTGCTTCTGAAGAGAATGCTTATTTAAATAAGCACTTTTTAAACAATTAAAAACTGTGATATTAAGTCGACTGGTTTGAGGAATGTCTAAGAAAATTGCTCGTTTGTTGTAACAAAAAAATTGTCCAGTTGGCAGCAACCAGTAAAGGGCGGCAGGTATTGAAAGAGAAGAACAGCTACGTGATCTTGCGGGAGCTGCACAAGTGGGAGAAGGATTTACAGGCGCGCACAGCGTGCGAGAACCTGTTGCAGGTCAGTGAAAGCTGTCCGTGTCGTGGAATTTTATAATGACGCGAAGAGTTGCGGCCCAACGGGGAAGTTACTTAAAGGGTTGAGTCGATGCACTGCAGTTCCACTCGTGTGCGGCAGTAAATGCTCAGCGACTGGCGCCAGCTCTGGAGAATACCTGCGCGTGTGCGATACAAATCCCCGTAAGATGTGTGATCGGATGCACCGTATACGTTATGCAGTTTTACATAAGTTTAAAATGTGGGGAGAAAAAAATAGCAATAGCAATTTGGCCATTTTTTTCTTCCAAATATGGGCACGTACAAAGTGCACATTGGGGTTATTGCTTTTCTTTTCAGAATCTAAAGTGATTTCCTAGTCCGTTGAGCACTGAGATGGATCTCATCTGTTTACGGCCCCGAGTCGGTGGTGGGAGTTTCACATTCCTGTGGCGAGTGCGAGTCGATCCATAGCACAGCCACTGTTGTTGATTTCCCCACAACAGCGGTACTCATTTCATCAAGCACTGCCTCAATGATTGCTTGAGCAGGCAATCACTTTGAGTTCTGAAGCTGGGTCACTGATGCGGTAAACGGCACAAGCATGGTGGTTACGAAGTGCATACACGTCGCACTTACCTCATGAGTCTGTGAAGGCTATAGGGGGGATCTTTGTCTTTGTATGTGGCAGGTACTGATTGGGGATGAGCCAGCGGCTTCCATGCAGAACCTGCTGAAAGTGCAAATCCCTCCCCACGTGGAGCAGCACCTGCTCCTTCAGGACGAGGAGCAGCAGCAGCAACGAACAGACTAATGCAACCGAACGGCTGACCTTGATTCCATTGTGTTTCAAAGGGCAGTGGTGTAATCTGTTAATTTGAGAGTAACAGATTGCACACACATCAACATGTGAGCAAATATGTGGATGTTTGCACAATATTACGTTTTGTGTTTCGTGGATGAAATGGAGGCATTTGCTTCAAAAGGCAATTTTCGTTTTTCAATAAAATAAGGATGTATCATGTGCCCGCAGTAAGTGTTAACACTTTGCATGTACAACATGAGCAGATGCTCTCTAAATTACCAAATCTGGAACAAATTATTTGTTGATGCTACATTAGCAGCGGCGGCGCCCAAGTACACATTGGTGACATTTTGGGCAATTGCCCTTAGAGAGGCCAGAGAAATAGATTGGATAAGGGTTGGAGGCTGCACATAACACCATGGGGCCTGATGAGAATTTAATTTTAAACATGTTTTCTGATGACCAGTTTTTTTATTGACGTTAATAGTTAACAAATAGTAATGAATAACAGACTCTTCAATATGCAAAACGTATGGCGAAATAAACTCATTGTAAGTAAAATAAAATGCTGCTGCTACATTGCATTGTGGGAATGTATGTTCTTGTGAGTGCAAGGCACATTCAAAGCTATAAGAGGCTGTTTTTGGGTTAGATCGCGTAAATATAAATTAGCCGTGTCGGGTGGTGGCGGGTTTAACAACACATTTACGCGATCTAACCTAAAAAAAAACTATGGATTGGTCGTGCAAGCCTACGTGTTAAACTCTCATTCCACCAAGCAGTACATTGGGGTGAAGGTTATGGCACATAGTCTTTATAAATCATTGCTGAACTTCATATCCTTTTGGTAAAGTCACGTAGGTATAAAATAAAATAAATCACGACGTTTCGATTGCAACACAAGCGACCGTCATCAGGTGGAACAGATACAGCAGGAGAACTGCTGACATAGGAGAGCTGCTGCAACAACGAGTTTATGTAGGATTTTAGTGGGCTCAAGCCAAGGGTAAGTGGGCGGAGCTATAGAAGGACCTTGCACGTAAATGTGAGAGATGAGCATGTCAATGTAAGAGAGATTGACATGTCAATGTAAGAGATTGACATGTTAATGTGAGAGATTGACATGTCAATGTAAGAGAGATTAGCATGTCAATGTAAGAGAGATTGACATGTCAATGTGAGAGATTGACATGTTAATGTGAGAGATTGACATGTTAATGTAAGAGATTGAAATGTTAATGTGAGAGATTGACATGTCAATGTGAGAGATTGACATGTTAATGTAAGAGATTGACATGTTAATGTAAGAGATTGACATGTCAATTAGAGAGATTGACATGTCAATTAGAGAGATTGACATGTTAATGTGAGAGATTGACATGTCAATGTGAGAGATTGACATGTTAATGTAAGAGAGATTGACATGTCAATGTAAGAGAGATTGACATGTTAATGTGAGACGGTCCCAGACACCGGAGGTGGCGGGGATCCTCCTGTGGCTAAGCCGCCTCAGATATTTCACCTGGTGATGTACTCGGAGAGTCGGAAATAACAGCTGACATAGGCAGGTAGGATAGAAACATCACAGTCGGTTAAGACTTTACCTGGTTAATAACGTCCTTCCAATGATTGCTCAGTTTGTACCCATCTCGGTTGAAGTTGTGTCTGTGTTTATATATCTGGATGGCTTCATGAACAAATCTCTGAAGGTAGCCAGTAGGTTTGCAGAGTACCTCCGTCTTGGATAAATCAATTTCGTGTGAGCCCACAGCGTTAAAACAATGATCAGCAACGGCAGAGGTATTGGTCCTACCGTGTTTCAGATCTGTCTTGTGTTCACGAACACGGTCCGAGACATGTTGTTTCGTTTCCCCAATGTAACTGCTGCCGCAACCACAACTCAGTTTATAGACACCAGGGTATTGCATGTCAGGAATCGCATCCTTTACAGATCGGATTAAATCACGGATTTTGTGTACTGTGTTGAAACGAACCTGGATCTTGTGTTTGTTTAAGATTTTGGAAATCTTTTTGGTAACCCCTACACTGTATGGTAAAGTGATGGTTTTGGTTGGATCTTCAGAAGGTTGTCTACCCATAACTGGGGAGACAGCTTTGTGGCTTGTACGGTCCCAGTATCCGTTCATCCTGAGGGCTTGGTGTACGTGCTCCAGCTCACTGGCTAGGTGATGCTGGTCGGAGATGCAACGGGCCCTATGGTGTAGTGTTTTGATGAGGGAATTCTTGTGGGCTGGATGGTGGTGGGAATCAGGCTTTAGATAGGCATCTGTGTGGGTGGCTTTCCTGTAGACTGAATGTCCCAACAAGCCATCAGGTCTCTTCTCGATCAAAACATCCAGGAATGGTAGCTTGCCATCCTTTTCCACTTCCATGGTAAATTTGATAGACGGGTGTATGGAATTGATGTGGTTGAGAAATTGGTTCAGTGCTGGCAGGCCATGTGGCCAGATGACGAATGTGTCATCTACGTATCTCTTCCACAAGGAAGGACGTAGGGTGGATGTCTGGATGGCATCTGTCTCAAATTTATCTATGAAAACATTCGCTACCACTGGCGATAAAGGAGAACCCATTGGGGTACCCTCATTTTGTTTGTAGAAAGAGTATGGATGCTGCAGTCACGAAAGCTTCAAATCAAGATTGAACTTCAGATAATTTTCAACTTTATCCTAAGCACTGGTAAAGGCCTCCTATGCTAATATGAAGGTAATTACATTGTATTGATGAAAAAAAAGTATATGTGCTGCTTTATAGTCAGACCAGAAGGAGCACTACAGTGCACACACACACATGCTGAGTGTGAAATACATAGGACTGAACATATAGTTTTGAAATAATAGCTTTTAAAGTGAGATAGCAAACTAAAATTTGGGGCAGCGATATGATCCCACGGTAGTGCTTTGACGACGTGATGCAGAGGTGGTTCCGCACTTCCACTCCGGGAGGCCGCTCTGGGCGTCTATAACGTACCCACCGTCTATAACGTGCCCACCGTCTATAACGTACCACCGTCTATAACGTACCCACCGTCTATAACGTACCCATCGTCTATAACGTACCCACAGTCTATAACGTATTCACCGTCTATAACGTACCCACCGTACCCACCATCTATAACGTACTCACCGTCTGTAACGTACTCACCGTCTATAACGTACCCACCGTCTATAACGTGCCCACCGTACTCACCGTACCCACCGTCTATAACGTACCCACCGTCTATAACGTACTCACTGTCTATAACGTACCACTGTCTATAACGTACCCACCGTCTATAACGTGCTCACCATCTATAACGTACCCACCGTCTATAACGTACCCACCGTGTATAACGTACCACTGTCTATAACGTACCCACCGTCTATAACGTACTCACTGTCTGTAACGTACTCACTGTCTATAACTTACCACCGTCTGTAACGTACTCACTGTCTATAACGTACCCACCGTCTATAACGTACCCACCGTCTATAACGTACTCACCGTCTGTAACGTACCCACCGTCTATAACGTACCCACCGTCTATAACGTACTCACCGTCTGTAACGTACCCACCGTCTATAACGTACTCACCGTCTATAACGTACCCACCGTCTATAACGTACTCACCGTCTATAACGTACCCACCGTCTATAATGTACTCACCTTCTATAACGTACCCACCGTCTATAACGTACTCACCGTCTATAACGTACCCACCGTCTATAACGTACCGTCTATAACGTACTCACCATCTATAACGTACTCACCGTCTATAACGTACCCACCGTCTATAACGTACCCACCGTCTATAACGTACTCACCGTCTATAACGTACCCACCATCTATAACGTACTCACCATACCCACCGTCTATAACGTACCTACCGTCTATAACTTACCCACCATACCCACCGTCTATAACGTACCACCGTCTATAACGTACCCACCGTCTGTAACTTGCTCACCGTCTGTAACGTACCCACCGTCTATAACGTACCACCGTCTATAACGTACCCACCGTCTGTAACGTACCCACCGTCTATAACGTACTCACCGTCTATAACGTACTCACCGTCTATAACGTACCACCGTCTATAACGTACCCACCGTCTATAACGTACCCACCGTCTATAACGTGCTCACCGTCTATAACGTACCCACCGTCTATAACGTACCCACCGTCTATAACGTACCCACCGTCTATAACGTAGGGGGCCATCCAGTTCGTAGGGACGCAAAAATCTGTCAAATCCTGAACCCCCCCCCCCTTCCTGTACGCACGTGTACTTTTTACACCCCCCCGCCCCCACCTGTGTACGTACGCTTGACGCACCCCCCGAATCCTATAGAATGGCCGATATTGAATCTACGCAGAAACGAACAAGGATTAAGAATATTAACGTGTTTAAGCAAACCCTCCACCGCCGGACTAACTCATTTGAAAGCCAATGTAGACAAATTATATTATCGAGACCCCCCCCCCCTCCGTTTCCTATGCGTACATTATCAGTAGACCCCCCCCCCCCATACGCGAGTGTGCGCGTTTGGGTTAACCCCCCCCCCCCCTCCATGCGACGTGCTAAATGAATGCCCCCCACCCACCGTCTCTAACGTAACCGCCTTCCACCTCGAGGGGACATTAACAGATGCCGTGGCGTCAGTGGACGCAAGAGTAGGCACACCGTATGCCAAATTTAGTCCTTGGGCCAGACCAGATATCGGTACCACCCAAGATGGCAAAACTTCAATGGTGCCACTTTATTTGTTACACCAACAGAAGTAAAACAATACGTGATAACCTTTCCAAATGAGCAGCTGTTTAATTTTTCTCGCAGGAAACCTGTTTTTTGCATCTATCGCAATCACGCGTATTTGCCTGGACGTTACAAATAAAACATTCCAACACCTCTGCTGTTAATTAAGACAATAAATAATTAACAAAATGGATGTTTGTCCCCAAGGCATGTATTTCATACATATTCTTTCATTTATTACGTTTGTTCTTCAATTTCAGTGACTTAGTGAAGTCTGGAATAGATTGGCGCTCTGTTTTCCTTGTTTCTAGCAGCTTCTTTGGTCATAAGCACTTACTGGCAGGTGAGGCAAGTACTGGTGGTTCTGTATTATTTATGTTCATTATTAAACATATCTGAAGTGCTAACTTTACCCTCAATGTAGTTAATGTACCTGTTAAGATTATTAGTTAAGGCCAGGAACTACAGGCAAAAATAATTATTTTTGTTCAGTTTCTCAATTTTTCTATTTTTTTCATATTTTGCTTCTATAAATTCATAACTTTCATAACATGCACACAAATATTACCAATAACTTTTTTATTGGTAATAATTGATTAAAATCATAAAAAAGAACTATATTTTATCGTTAATTTTTACGATTTTATACAAACATCGCCAAGTAAACAAAGCCATAAATTAGCGTTTTTTAGCATCTTTCCTCGCAATTTGTACCCGCATTATAAGAAATAACCGAGTTGATTTGCATATGATTGAAAAGCTTATTCTCTGGAGCAGATGTCTAGCTTCGTCATACTGTATATGGCAATTTACTTTGCCGTCATGGCGATAAGAGGGGGAACACTTGTAGAACTCTCAAATCTCATTGCTACTAGTGTAATGAGTGGCTCCGACACGATAAGAACTTCAATCGTTTATTAATAAATCTTCTTTGGCGCTCATCCACTCTCTAGCACGCCACTAGCTGACGGCGCTGGCTAGGGAGCGGTTGAGCGGCTGAAGGTCGAGCCGCCACGTGACCGATGGAGATGGCCGGGCAGCGACGGAGATCTCCTCTTGATTCTTCACACACCGACCTCGCACCTTGCTCCGGCCCCTGCTTATATTCGCTCCCCGGCGACTAAACCCCGCCTCTGGTCACGCCCCTCATGGAACCTTTCGGAGCGTTCCAGAGGCTTCCCGGGTGGCTCCGCCCCATTACCTTTGGCTAAGATGTAATCCTTCCCCTAGATATCCTATAACTGCATATCACACCACACCACATAATACAGGAGATGGTGCTCTCATTACACTAGCATCACAATGCCAGAATTGGCATTGCGATTTTCTCAAAACGACATTTTGCATGCCGAGTTTGACAACTCATGTTTCATAATAGGTAAAGCCACATCATTCTACATACTGCTTCCTACTTGGAATAGCTCGAAATGTTCAGAGGGATTTTTAAAATATCTTTTGTCATTTTCATTTTATGTGGTATATCTATATTGGCGAAAATCTTATTCTTTAAATGTGTCAAGTGTATTTTAATGTAATAAACTGAAAGACCAATATTTTGACAAAAGCCTCTGTAGATGACCAACCAATTAGTTATTGAGAGCTCTTGAGATAGGAGAAGAGGCCTACCAGGTATTCAAGCAAACAAGGTTAGCTGAGGACCTACCAACTGTGTAATTCCACGACAAGATGACCAAAGTCTGAAGACAATCTCCAATATCAGCACAAAACAGCACATGGAAAGAAAGCACAGGATGTGGTTCTGAAGGCAGATAGAATCCTGTTCAGCCACATGATCCTGGTGGCTGAAAGCAGGCAGGTGAATATGAAGGATGTCCTTGCCCACCCACTGGGCCCACTGCCATGGGCACTGGCAAATGCTGATGGGTCCCTACAAAAAACAAATAAGGCTGCACTTGCCATAGAGCTTGAAAAGAATGTGTCTCCTGCAGAAGACATCCCAACCCCATCTACTTCCATCATCTATGGGATGAGCCTGGTCCAAAACATGAATGGCAACAACAAAACCTTTGCCACAGGTGGCAGAGTCAGCTTTGACCCAGGTCCTCCACGAGGGGGCACAGAGTGAGAGGATTGATGTTGTTTTTGATGTCTAACGACAGACTTCGATCAAAGATGCTGAACGACTGAACTGGGGTACAGATACCACTCTCCAGTACAAGAACCTTGCAGGGGGACACCACGTCCAGCAGTGGAGAAACTTCCTGTGCAGTCCCTCCAACAAGACCAGTCTCATCAAGTTTCTGGTGGAAGAGTGGAATCTGCCACGATACAGAGAGATGCTGCGTGGTAAGGTGTTGTACATGACCTGTGAGGAAACCTGCTGCAAGTTGACAGAAGATGAGTGTGAGGAAGTAGCAGAGCTGCACTCCACGCATGAAGAAGCTGACACCCGTCTGCTCCTGCATGCATTGCATGCAGCAAATGTGGGCTTAAAGGCAGTTATCATCACAGCTGAGGAGACTGATGTCATGGTGCTTTGTCTTGGCTTCCAGAAGGACATCACTTTTCCCATTTACCAGAAGTGTGCAACACACAACCGCACGGTTTGTCGATATCAGCAATCTGGCAAGGTCACTAGGAGACAGCATCTGTGACAGCCTAATTGGCTTACGCGCCCTCACAGGCTGTGGCACTGTCAGTGCATTCGCTGGTCGAGGAAAGCTGAATGCCCTGAAGATGGTGAGAAAGGACACTTCCTGCCAAGAGACTTTTAGTCTACTGGGGCAGTCATGGAATGTGAGTGATGAGCTGTTCCAGAAAATTGAGCAGTTCACCTGCCGCATGTACGCTGCTAACAGCAGCACTGGTGAGATGAACGAACTGCGCTACCAGCTCTTCTGCACCAAAAGGGGAGAAGTCGAGTCCAGCCAGCTGCCACCATGTAGTGACTGTATCTTCATGCATGTTCATCGAGTCACCTATCAGGCAGCAATCTATAAGTGCTGTCTGCAGGCTAACCCTGTGGTGCCAAGCCCTATTGAGTATGGATGGACAGACGATGATAGCAAGCTGGCCATGGGAACTGAACATCAGCTCCCTCACCAAGAGAGCTCAACAGAGGATGTACTTTCTACGGCAGCTGAAGAAATTCAACCTGCCAAAGACAATGATGGTGCAATTCTATACAGCGATCATTGAATCCATCCTCACCTCCTCCATAACCGTCTGGTACACTGCTGCCACTGCCAAGGACAAGAGCAGACTGCAGCGTATCATCCACACTGCTGAGAAGGTAATTGTCTGCAATCTACCAACCCTCGAGGACCTGCACACGACAAGGACCATGAGGCGAGCGAGGAAGATTGTGGCCGATTCCTCCCACCCTGGACACTCTCTGTTTCAGCTACTCCCCTCCGCCAGAAGGCTTCGGTCCATCAGGACCAAAACCTCACGCCATAAAAACATTTTCTTCCCATCTGCTGCTGGCCTGTTAAACAAGGCTAAGGGCTTACACTGATTTTAACATTTTATCTACATAATGACACCTTGCCGATATTAACTATGTTAACCTATTTGTATTTTTTTATTATATCTTAAAGCTATTTTATATTAGATATTTATTCAATTTTATATACTTCAGCCCCTTGGTGTTAGACTTTTAACCCTTATTATTATAGTAAGACTTGTTTAAAACCTATTTAAGATTTTAGATTCCTATATGTTGAATGTATGCACCATCCTGCCAAAGTAAATTCCGTGTCGGTGTGAACTTTCATGGCAAATAAAACCCTTTCTGATTCTGATTCTGATTTACTGGATGTGCTCTCCACCCGCACCAGATGTGGTCTTGGAACTACTGGCATGCAAGTGTGTGCGTTCATGCAAAATGCCAAGCTGCACGTGCCTGTCAAATGGACTGCCATGCACAGACATGTGTAGGTTACAGACCTGCAGTAACCAACAACTGCAGGATGATCCAGAACCTGACTTTGAACTCAGGGAGTCAGATGACGAGATAGATGAGCAGTTTGATGAGTGACACAGGGCGGTGATTCTGATGGTATTACTGTGGTAGTAGCAGTATACATTGATGCACAGTGTGGTCATTCTGGACTTGGTTACCCTTGTTAACACCATCTAAGTACACACAGAGCTTCTTCACATATTCCCATCAATAACGATATATATGGGATTACATGTATCATTGACTAAGTATATGCGAATGTCAATGTTCATAATATTCAAGTAGTTCTTTACCTCACGATGGTAATCCTTATTATCCTGTGTTTTCGTTGTATATTTAAACCAATAAAGACCAGTTTGTGACCTAACTGGCTTTGGTCGAGGTAGTTTTTCAGTAATAATGTCAACTTCATCGTTCTGGACGCCTGTCACAGGGTATTGGTATAAAAGTCACGGTAACTACAACCAAGCTGCCACTCCGCAAAGGTTATCAAATCAGAATATGTCCCACACACTGGAGGATTACAAAAACCATGACTAGACTTTGCCACCTCAGGTGGTACTAATAAGTGATCTTTTTGGTCTGAGCCCATGGACTAATTTGTCAAGTTGTGAGGGGAAAAAAACGACGGTGCTAATTCATCCGGACACAACAATCGTCGAAACTTTGACACGACTGCGCCTTAATAGTTGTGCGTGGCTTCTCTGAGGTAAACCAGCATAATAATAATGTCCTCATATCACCAAAACATTGCATGAAAAGTACAGTCAACACATTTATTACCAAACACTCTACAATGTTACTGCATTAACTCCATCATGGTCCCATAGAAGCCGGTGATGCAGTATTTTATCACCAAGTCTGCCATTATCCTGCCAAGGCTACCTCACAAAATAACAATTTAGTCAAGGAAACCCCTAAAGGACTTGCAGCAATGCTAGAGGGAGCACTCAGTGTACACAAACGTTGCTCACATTTCCATTATCACGAGATTCGCATGCTTATTAGGCTGTACAAGGAAATACTTTGGCCAGACCGAAGTGTAAAATACAATACTCTGAACATCATACATTGCATACAACAGTACTGTACGTCATACTGGAAACGAATTAGGTATTGTTCGTAAATTGTGGGGAATTATTACTTGTACAAAAGCTTTAAAAACACAAGTCACCTACAATTATCAATACACAGGATGTGCATGCCAGCCGATATACGGTATATATATTAACGTTACGAAACTCACAAGCCAAGGTTAGGCCAAAACATTGCCTTTGGTCCTTTACTAAAACTAGATTATTTTTTATACAACCTAACTTTACTCATCGCATTGAGTTGCTACGGAGGATAAATGTTCAGTGCTTTATACTCGAATATCAATTTTATATTTTAAAACAAAATAGTGCAACAATTCCACACGTGAACAGTTCCCTATGAGTAACGCGCAGCACATTGGCACACAGTTGCTCCCATCAACGAACATGTTTCTTTTGCAAAATGCTATCTGACCCGATAACATCCTGCAATGGGACAGGGCAACACACATTAAATATATCCGTGGCGATTTATACAAAGAGAATGCGGCCGACAGCACCTCATTGCTTCACAACTATTCTGGACCCATGCAACAATATTCGTCAAGGCAGTCTTTTTAAAAAAAAGTGGCCAAGAAAGTTCCGTTGGGCTAGAGCAGGGACTTACGAGTTCCTTGCAGTTTCAACTTCTACAACTCTAGAGCTCAGCGGTGACATGTATCGTGATACAACCTATTCAAACATGTGATTGGGTTTTTAATCGCCCGTCTTACCCCTCGGGACCCAGGCAAAGGGTGCCCTTCCTGTTTCTGTTTTGCGGGCGACGCACACACACACGATTGTCTGCTGCTGCCATCTAGTAGCAACATCTGAGAAAGGAAAGAAAAATAATTGCACATACGGCCCAAGGTCATACCCCCCCCCTCCCCCTCCAAAATATTCCACACACCATTTACCAAAACACAGTACTGGCCCCAGCTTCACCCATAACCATGAACGCCACAATTGTCTGGCTTCCGGGCAGCATTTAAAAAATATAAGGCTGTGAAAGCGTTAAGTGACAGTGTTCGAAGCATGCGAGCAAAATACTCCCATTGGTGTTGGGCAATTTGTTGGATTTTTTGCCAATCAGTGTGCAAAACCCACCGCACAACAGCATAATTCTAACAAGTTTGGCATTATTCAGAGCTTAAGAATCCACTTTTTTAAGGATATATTCTGATAATGAAAAACTTGCGGTACAGTGCAACATTGTAATACCATTCCCATGTGGCATTTTTGTGCATATTAACATCCCGTGTCTAAAGTCAGTGATTTCTTGTAGCATGGTCATTGCTCCCGAGTTTATCAACGTGTGCCCACATCCAACATTCAATTTGGCTGGGGCCATGCAAAATAGTATGAAGAGGTTTAACTGGGCTTAACAAAACTGATGTCTCACTGAATATCCTGCAAAACCATGACTTTTGCGTGGAATTAAATGTTTTTATACGTGCCGTTACTAGTTTGCTATGTATGCGTGTATATGCGTGTAGCGGACATACGTATTAATGTATGCGAGTATATGTGTGGTGGGTAGAGGTATTGTAGTAACTACGAACCCTGTGATCCAAGTCCGATTCTCACTCGTGGCCAACATAAGTGATGAGTATCTGAACCGGTCCTGTGCCTCCCCTAGGTCCACTTAACCTAAAATGAGCAGCTGGTGTAGTGGTCAAACATCACCACTGGTAAGACAGGTGGCTGGCCATGGTACTGTGCCCTATTGGCCTTCATTGGAGCTCGCTAACAGTACTTTCCCGGGTCTGTCCCGTGACCTGTCAGCGAGCCTTCAACACTTCACGTGGCCTCAGGTTGCACCTGGCTTGGGATAAGCGCCATAGCGACGTTACCGCCACTTCGTGGCGAATGGCGGCAGTTGTGTGTATATTCGAGTTATAGCATTAACATTTTTTGTCAAAACTAGTTACCAGTTTGTCGCATGTGTAGGACTGTCGAGCAATAGACACATTTTTAGCTGAAATATGAATGGAGTAATAGTGGTGTGATAACACACAGGACTTGCAATCCAGAGGTCACCTTATCAATTTTATCTCTCGGCGCGGCAGTGGAAACGATGCTGCAAGTTTTCTTAAACCCCCCCCCCCACCACCGCCTCTGTTCACCCAACGATACAAATGGGTCCACCACAGTCGATCGGCAGGTAGCGTGCGGTGGGGAAAGGCGTGGGTACGCCAAGAGGTCTGGTCAGCGTGGAAGAGCAGCCAAATATTCTCGAGAGCTCCCTTTAGTGGAGGCCTTTCCACCAGTAGTGCTGTTAGCAAGCACTGTTACGTTTTAACTGAGAAATGAGGGCAAATATCCGATGCATGCTGTTGGTACGTTTGCGCGCGCCATTTATTGCTAAACTTCCAATGAAAACGATTCCCAGTTCCTGAATTTTTAAACTAATAATCAATTATGAAAATGCTTACTGGTTGCGATTAAAAAATCTGAGCGTTCATGGGTACGCATCTATATGTGTATGTACCGATGTGTACGTGCACACCAATCAAAAGCCTGGGACACCCCTTGCAAACGGGACGTTCCATCTGAAGTGATCGTCCGGGTGAATATTTTAACTGAAAACAGTGGCACCTGACGAACGGGGCTTGAAGCGTGGGGGTGGAAGAGCTCTACTGGAGCGTGGGCCCAGGCTCAGTGCTCAACATGCGACACGGTCACGCTCATGCTCCTCTGGCCGTGCTGCCTCCGCTCGGGATCCGCCTCGGGCTCCGATTGGCTGTGCGCTCGCTCCGCAGCGTGGGCACAGCCCGCCGCCTCGCACGGCGGGAGAGGCCGCGAGGGGCGGGTGCCGTGGCCTGCCAGGTCCAGGGCCCGCGCGTGGTGCTGCACGCGTGCGTTCACTTGAGCCGGCCGCGAGATGCTGCTGCACTCCAGCTGCACGAGGTGAGCCGCGTAGCCTTCGGAGATGTACTGCACGCCGCAACGGTCGTTAGGTGCACCATTCTTAAGGACTGCGCACGTGATTTAAACTTTTGTGTCTCATAATAACATTTTTTGCGCCACACATTGCAGTTGTAAACATATGCATTCACGCATCGTTTAATAGTGTACTTCCGTATATATTTCCCTCGTTTGAATTAGGGAAAACAATGCATAGCTTAAATATGGTAATTATTATGGTAATTATCACTTTGGAAAACCAAGCTTAAAAAATGTATATTTCAAGGAATGAACATTAAAATGTATTAATGATGATGCCTTTACAATAACATTGATGGGTTACTTGAGTTTTGATTTAAAGCTTTCGTGACTGCAGTAATTCATATTCTTAGTTCTTTCGGTAAAGTCACGTTGAAGGGAAACAATAAAATAATACAATATATATAAAACAATACAAATTCTCACGACGTTTCGACCATAACACAAACCATAACACAAACACCGTTTGTGTTATGGTGTTATGAAACGTCGTGAGAATTTTTATTGTTTAATATATATTTTATTATTTTATTGTTTCCCTTCAACGTGACTTTACCGAAAGAACTAAGTATATGGGTTACTTGAGGTTACATTTAGTGGTGGTAATGTGTATTGGCACTTCTCACAACTCCAAACGTGCGCTGGCACATTCTGAACAGTTACAATTCCTCTACTAAGATGTTTCCGCAGAGGGGAAATGGCAGTGTATGGGAGTTGTCAGAGTGTGTTATGATTGTGAGAGGGCGAGTGAGTATCAGTATGGGGAATGGTAGTGCATAGGTTAGCGCGCTGCGCTATGGATCCGAAGAGTACCAGATGCGGTGTGTTTCCATCGCCACCAGGGAGACAAAGCCAGCCGGGCATAGTGCTGGCCACATAATCCCTCATGTGCCATGCCGGCCTTCATAGGTGCTCACTAACAGCACTTACCCCAAAAGTCCGTTAAGGCTATACGGGTGGTCTACAGTACAGTATGTCTTTGTGAGTGTCAGTGAACATTGGCTACAGCACAAATAAGTTTAACACAGGCACCTTCTTATTTACATTTAGACCACTCATTCCTCTGGTAGATTATTGAGCCGCTCGCCTGACATTGGAGGTGGTGTTTTTTCGATGGCCGTCCCACGATGTATATCTGCGATGGAGACAGCCCCAGAGCGTGGTACACTCCGATGTCTTTACTCGACCCATATGATGTGTGGATCCTCATATGAGCCTGAAATAAAAACAATATTAAATAACATTTGCAGGCCATATAATAAATGACAACTAAAATAATTTTGTTTAATACGTAGGCTTTCGTGACCATAAAATAATTTTAATATCATCAACTTTACATTTAGGGTACATTTTAGCTTAATTAAGCGTGTGAGTTGTTGCGACCGCTTATAATACAAACGTTGTTTTTCGGGCTTGGCTTGAGTAAGGCGTTCTTTCTTTCAAGCCGTCGCCTCACACATTTTGCTTCTTTGTGTTTTGTGTACTTCCCGTGATAATGTAGGTTTTAAAAAGCAACATCGTGGCATCGTGAGACGCGAGTCTGTGATTGATTTGCCCACCCTGTCCTCAGACCAAGCCCAGAGATATTTCTCAGTCAGCCTCGGTCTATCAAAAACGGTGCAGTAGACTTGAGTAAAGTTCAACACATTTCCAAAAGATTTCAGGACAAACGAATTCCTGCCACCCAAACACAGATACCAATTCCCGGACTGTCCAGGGAAAACCCAGACAGGGGGCAAACCCCTGTGTGCGGCGCTGCTCAACATAGTACACCTCTTGCTGAAGGCTTCGGAGAAAGTTGGTCTTGTGTCGAAGTGGGTCGTGAACCAGTCCGTCACAAAATGACATGAGGCCGTGTGGGAAGTTATGCTGTGCCAACCATGCCACCACTCTCTGCTTCTGCATGTCAGGCCTCCCCGTCACGTATATAAGCAGAAAGCCCAGTTCCTGCCAGTGCCTGTAAAATAAAACATATGTCGCAAATAATATAACAAACTACTTTAAACAAAGTTGCTGAGTACAAACCCAAAGACTCAGACCATCAAGTGGCCAGCAACAAACAGCACAGTCAACATAGTAATAGATAAGAGGTAATGCGTTTCTTGAATTGAGGGAGGCTATCAGAGCTTCGGGAAAGTTACAAGAGCTGTGCTCAGCAATGGCGTGTAAAAGAAACACCGTTGTGCTTTGACCTTGGAGCACGTACCGCACAACGTCGATGGCCCCTGGGCGCACCTTTGGGTCAGTGCCCGTGAGCGACACACTCGCCGCGAATGAGCCATCGATGCTGAAGACGACGCACTCCGTCCCCTTGGGAAGCACAGCCAGGAAGCTGTCAGCAAACGTGCGGTCTCCTCTGTGGGATTTACAGACACGGCGTCTTCATGGAATTGTACTCATAATTTATTATTCACTCTGCTGTTTACGCAGCAAAACCTCACCAAGTCTCAATGCTCTTTTTTTTTTAGAATCCTGCCAAGTTTTCGAAGTAGGGGGCGATGTTGCTGTGTGCAATCCCAATTGAGTAACTTGCGGATAATAATTTCAGCATTGAAATGTTTGGCGAATACCAGTTACATTAAATGAAGTACTGTGAAGAAAAAGCTGAAAAAAATATGCCTCCTCCACATATCTGTCCCTGCACATAAATATATTTGTTAAATGTACACATCCCATCAGTAACATTGGTTCAGTTAGTGTCCCATCAGAAGTTAAGCTTCCTTGAAGCAATGCTGATGGAATGACTGTGGGAGATGCGATGCGTGAAAACACTTTTATATTCACATGGAAGAGCAGATATATGAAGGAGGCACATTGTCTTACGTTTATTTAGTTACATATCTTCTCTGAAACAACACTATCGATACAATTGTTTAAAGTCAAAATATTGGCTAATATTAATTCCCACAGACCTAGCCCAGACATATTTATCAGTTGGCGCAGGTCTATCAAACGTTGCAGTGTGCCGTAGTAAAGTTTAATATGGCAATACCGGTACCCGATCTCAGTACAAATCAATCCCTGCCACCGGAAACACAGCCAGGTGGTTGCAGCCGCACTCCACCCACAGCTCAGAGACAGCAGAAACAAGCTTCACACTTCATTAGACCTCCTTTGCCAGTACCAAAACATAATAATAGGGTTTTCCCCTTTTTTCTGGCAACAAAAATGAAACCTTTTTACAAGGATTCATGTCTGCATTAACCACAATACCTGCAGTAAAAATGCAAAAAAAAACATACTATGATAATATATGCATTGTCCTTGAAACTGGTGTGGACCAATCAGTTTCAAGGACAATGCATATATTATCATAGTATGTTTTTTTTGCATTTTTACTGCAGGTATTGTGGTTAATGCAGACATGAATCCTTGTAAAAAAAGGTTTCAGTTTTGTTGCCAGAAAAAAGGGGGGAAACCCTATTAAGCTTCACACTATCGAGGTCACATCAGAAACTGGCTTCACACTATCGAGGTCATCTCGCGCTGCACCTGACGACCATCTTGACGGGATAGAGGCCAATGCCAATGTGCTGAATGTCAGGGATGACGTAGCTGACGCGGCCACTGCTGTTTGTCACCTGAGTGTCAAAGTATACCCACTCTCCTTCTGGGGGCTTGGTCATGATAAACATGTCAACCTGTAGACAAAGCACACACAAACGCACGCAATGCGTGGCAGTGAAATACTGAGTAGTTGCATAGCATTTATGCAAACCTGAAAGTCAATCGAAGAAAATAATGCATCGAACATTTCTGTTAGTCACGCAATATATATCTCCATTTGTGTTGATGTTTAGCGTACAAATAGGTCAACGTTTGGTAACGTGGCGAGGCGAGAGACAGCATGCTACGTGGGGATTGTGGACGCGGCACCTTCTCCCCAGTGAGGGTGACCATGTCAAGGGTCCCATACATGAAGCGGCCAGCAAGGCTCTGTGCGCTGCCTTCTACCACGATGACGTCATTGGCCCTGTGGTTCGCCGTGACGTTCTGAAGGGACATCGACACAACAATAGAGCTTGGAAAGATTTACGGTACAGTGTCAGCATTTGTAACAGCACTGAAACAGATATTGACATTGAGCTTAAGACAAGCTGCTCAAAAGCAATAATTACCAAATGTTTCTTATAGGGTTGTCACATTTTCTACAGATCAAACCCAGACATATTGCTCAGCCTAGTTCTGTCCAAACTTTGCACAATACTACATTAATGTACAATGCAATAGCACCAGATCTCGGTACAAATCAATTCCTGCCACCCGAACACAGATGCGAATTCCTGGACTGTTCGGATCAAATCCAGACAGACAGGTGACAACCCTCCTTACACTGCATATAGTTGCTCAATTAAATGTAGTCCTAGCTATTTCCATAGCGGAATGCAGGACTTAGTGCTTGAGCTAAAAAAATGACGTTTTATTAAGCTGCGTTATTGAAATGCAAATGTTGTGTCTGCACAATGTCACTGAGATACAGACTCGAATTTTGACAGAAGTCCTTTTCTTGAGCCACTTCTCCAGGGGTTTGCACGGTGACGATGAGCCATCCTGGGACATCTGCTGAGTCGCTCCCACTCTGCCTGGACCCAGCACCTGCAATGAGACTCAAAGTTAATTCGACATGCCAACCTGGACTATGCTGTGCCTCTTCTTGTCAATTACCTCATTATTCAGAGTGCAATTGTAATAACTTATTGTAAAACTACAATAACAGCATTACCGCTTTGTAGTAGCGTTCATTTTTGCATATAAATGTAATTAGTATCCAATTTCACCGCAATGGTGAATTCCATTATACCACGATGGTGTGGGTAAAATGGAAAATTGCAATGGTTTTGAAAAAGAATGATTGCCCATTGATTTTTTTTTATTTATCCAATTTGTTATGGTAGCGCAATACCTTTCACAAGCAATTTTAAAGTGAACGGTGCTCAAGGCTGACCTACAGATTAACGTCCAATTTTGAAATATTCCCTTTTTACCAAACATTCCTCCAGCATAGGGAGAGGAACCATTCTGTAAAGTGCCAGTGGACGTGCACGGCCTTCTGGGAAGTGTCGCACACTTCACGTGCAGGACTTGAGCCATCACCTGCTGCAGGAGGAACGCGGCAACGTCCATGGACTCCAGGTAGCTCGTGTGTGAGAGCTGGGCAGAGGACACGGCTGGGAAGGGCCGCACGGCCTCGGGGCAATGCAGCCAGTAGTCGATCCGCTTGACTCCCCACCACCTGGACAGGACTTGGGAAGAGGACGTGGACAAAGAGAGAGCGTGCTTGTGTTGTGAAGTAAAAAACTCACTCGTGCCTTCAGCGAGTCGTCCTGATAGACTCTGCTCGCCCTCAAACTTTTGAGGTGCGATTCAAAGTCAAAGGGATTTCTGGCTCAAATGAGCACCGAGATGGTGGCTCACCTCCTGTTTACAGCACTGAGCCAGTGGTGGAAATTTCACATTTCTATGGTGGGGGTGAGTCCCATACAATCACGGTCGACTTCCCCACAAAGTGGTAACGATGGATCAAGTGCAGTCTCCAACCCTCATTGTTCACATCTCTATGCAACGAAGTAGGACCATTGCCCCGAAACGTCACTTGTTCAATTTAATTTTTCTTACGAGGCCATTATTATTGACGAATTGTTGACAAGCACACCGCCAATGCATCATCGCCATTATCGGCTGCTTTGTTAAACAGGTGATGCAATCATGAAAGGGAAACTAAAGAGACGTGCAACAGTGTCAACAATAACAGTGACAACCGCATTGCACTGGCTGCTGTCACCGGCGTTCATCAGCCATCGGGGCTAGAGTGGAGGGAGACTGGCCCAACACAATGACATGCAGAGGCTTTGTTAAACAACAATCAACTCACTGCCACTAATGTCCGCGGTCGTGAATATCGCCGCTGGCATGGGGCTGTGTTCTTTTGCCAGGCATTGGCGAGTTGCTTCCGGAAGCGCCTCAAACGTCGTCCTCGCCAGGTTGTGTTGGACGTCTCCGACTTGTGCGGCCTCTTCCGCGAAGTAGCGCTGAATTGCTGACGCTGTGAGTTCCAAAACAGAAAGTTCAGGCATACGTAAACAGTGCGATTTTATTCGTCAAAATTATTACAATTAGAGCACATATAGTTTTGTGTAAAACTAGGACCCACAGTTTAACACGTAGGTTTTCAGACCCGTATCTAACAGGACCCATATCTAACAAGAGAGGGCCCTTGTCAATAAACACCTGGCAGTTCACCAGCATTGGGAAAGTAAGGCTGACTGCTGATGAGATACTGAATGTTGAAACCAGTCCAGAGTTTGCTTGTATGAGAACCAAATAAATGAAGAACTATTACTTATGGAGTGAGTTCAACTGAGTCGCAGACGCACTTCTTAGAGGCAACACATTTATTAAATCAACACACGGGGTACTACTCCTTAACGCATTAATAACCTATGATGGTGGACCACCAGGCTATCTACACTAATTACATGGGAATTAGCTACGACGGACCGGACCCTGACCTGGGTCCGGGTCCACCTGTTGGTGACTCTTGTAGGACGCAGAACGTAGAATCTTCAGGATGAACAACAGCTGCTGGTCCCTCTCGGGGACCCGGCTTTTATCCTCTGTGGCGGGGCTGGCTCCGCCCTTAGCCACGACCACCTTCTGGATTCCTCGAGCAGGATCTCGGCCCTGACACGTGACCACCCCGAGCCCCCACCTGGGGGCCCTGTGTAGACTTTACCGGTCACGTGTCACGTGTCCATGGCCCCTAGAAACCCCATTCCCGTGGCCCGCACTCTCACACCCTATCCTGTAGGGGTCGGCACTGCACGCAGAGCGTGGTGCCACTCAGCACTGCCAGTCAGCGCTCACCAAGCCCCTCTAGGGCCGGTACTGCACCCACATACACGTGGTGCCCGCGATGTCACTACACACTGTATGAATGATTACTTCGTGTTGTGTATTCGTACATTGCCTTTGCTACCTGCAAAGAAAATTCAAAGTTTGTCGAGCAGACATCACGTAACAAATCTCTCCCATGAAGACCTAAACACCGGTCACAGTGACCCACTTTGGATTAGGCCATCCTTACCCATCAGTGTTGAATGCCTCTCCACCATCTGCAGGCTGGGGTAGCGGGGTACTCTATGCGGAGGGATTTGTGTCAGACGTTGATCAAACAGAGGCTCCAGGCGACACGCAGACAGGTCGGCGGGATGGAAGATGTTGTAGATCTGCTGGCAAGCCGGCCGCAACTGGGAAACTGCACGGAGAGAAAAATAGTTTCAAGCAAGAATAATTGGGTTTCGTTGAAATATGGGGGGGGGGGACAAATTGTCGCTCCCATCGACAGTGGATTGTTGCACCACCCCATATTGCATCACCTGAACTTAGAAAACAAATTTAAAGTAAAAAAAGTATCTACATCCTCTGCATTACCTTCTGGTCGGATCAAAAGATGCAATGTTGTGTTCATGAACAAAAGATCCTTTTGGGGATCCAATCACCAGTATATGAAACGTTGTATATGTTGATAAACACAATCACATAAGTGGGACTGTACACATTCTATCTGGACAGGAGTGCACCTGATGTTAGAAATTCACTTTACTTTCTTCACTTTTCCCCAAAATATATGCTGATTATGTCAGGAGATGACGATTTTATTTGGAACTCTCACAGAGCGATGCAAGCCTCCATGATTAAAAAAAGGTCTATAGAAGTAAATATCACGGAACGCTTCTGAGATCCCTTGAAGAGACTTCTGATCCACAAACTAGGGGGCAGCACTTTCCCACCCGCCCTGCTGCAGAGTCATGTTTGTCACATGACAGTCAACTGATATGTTTAATTCTCATAGCTGGAATTGAGCCAAATTAAGTACAGAACCAAAGTTAATGTGATGTGTTTTGTTGTGCAATCATGGTGATCAGGCTGGGACCATCAACTCACTAAACGTTCGTACCCTATTAATACAAATTCGCTCTATTTGAGTCTATACGAGTCTGTGGGTCTATGCAAGTTTGTGGATCTCTGTATGAGTCTCTATGTGAGTCGATTCTCTCTGTTTTCTGTGTAAGTCTATGGGTCTCTGCTTGAGTCTAAAGCAGTGGTCCTTAACCTTACTGCAGCCTGCACCCCTTTGGTTCTTAACCCCAGGTTAAGAACCACTATTCTAAAGCAACAAAGCTGAGACCATTGACTCACTATACTTGATAACCCAGTTTAATCAATCACAGGCAATTGGATCTGGATTCGAACACAGCAGTGGCAGCTCCGTGCTCTAATCTCTAAGCCAACCGGCCACCTTCAATTAATTGAATTCAAAATTGGCTGTGAAAGTGCTACCTTGTATAACAAATATGTATGGTTCATAAACATAGTTATTTGTGAAATATAGCATAAAAACTGAAAAAAATGCAAACAAACGTCAAGATATGCGTACTTAGAATAACATTGAGAGACACTTGCATAAGAGAACATACGCAGGTTAATGATATAATTCAAGCTTTGAAGGAAAGTGGCCTTGGCCAGTACACTCCACGCCCAGAAGGTACGATGGACGGTGGTCAAGAATAATGACTGAATGGCAACCAAGGAATGGAACACGTCCTAGGGGAAGCAGCGATGGGACCGGTTCGTGTGCGGGTGCCAGATGGATCATTGCATCGCAAGATCGTGAAATGTGGTGACGCCTTTGGTGAGGCCTTTATTAAGCAGTGGATCGATCATGGCTGATGATGATGACGACGTGAGAGCACGCCGCGGGCGGGAGCATACGGCTGTTGGAGGGGAGGGCGAGACGCCGCAGAGTGAGCACCAGTGCCAGGGGCGAGCCCAGCAGGAAGAAGTCGGACACCGGGAAATCGAGGCGAGGGGGAGCAGGGGCGGAGTCGGTCGCCGAGGAACTGCTCCATCGCCGAGTCTCCACCTCATCCCGAGTGAAGCAGCCATGCACACTCCGCACGAGACAGCAATCTTAGCCGGCATGCCGCGTGACCAGCGGTCGTCAGAATGTAAATGTAGAAGTGTCGCTATGAAACATATTCTTCCTGCGGCCCATGTTCACACAGACACTCACTCGCTTACTTACGCATTCCCTCGTCAAAAACAGCTGCCACTCACTTGAAGTAGCGGTGACATTACTATGGGGCATGCACCAGGCTAGGTGCACTGTTAGGCCATGTGAATTTTTGAAGGCTCGCTGGCGGAGGTCACGGAACAGACCCAGGTGTTATGGATTGATTGGCTGAGATGACGCAGATACACCACGTTTGGACCCCACTGCCTATTTGCTGCGTTTTAGCCACCCTACACTCCGCTCATTATTGTGAATATCACTTCTCTGCCCTCTATTGTTGTTGGAGGTAAATTGCCTCCAACTGCCCATGCGCGTCCTTCACGAGCCTCCTCCACAAAGGCCGATCTTGACACCGCTCGTACCAGTTATCGTCAAGTTCACTCAGGTCCACATCCTTCTGTACCACATCAGCCCATCTCCTCTCTAGCCCATGCTGCACCTGTTCAGCTTCCTCCGATTAGCACGGTTGGCTATGTACGGTGAAAAAGAAGTTCAACATATCTACATACATATATGGCCAAACAGAAGTAGTTTGGGCATGCGGTGGCTGGATATGCAGGCTATATGAGCCAGCCAATTCACCCTTGCTTGTCAGATCTTTCAAGGATATCTGAGCTCCTCACATAATCCAGTCTGGTTAGTCCCAGGATGGATCGTAGGTAGGCCAACCTGAATAATTCAAACCAGCGCAGATGTTTTTTTTCAGACGGGTCCACGTTCGCAAGCATAGGGAAGGGAGGGTACAACTGTGGTCAAGAAGAACCAGACAGGTCAGGTGGCTTCCACACAACGTTACACAGCTGATGAAAAGGTAATGCTGCCCGATTAATTCAGAGTGAGACCTCTGCTGCAAAATCGGAGCTGGTCATAAGCACATTGCCTATCTATGGAAACTTCTCCACTCTCTCCACAGCAGACCATTACACACTCAGCAACACGCTCCCATTTCCCCTCTGCAGACACATCATAGTGTAGGAATATGAACCATTCTAAAGAGTGCCAGTATGTGTTTGGTGTTCTCAGAATTTCCGCTATGGCACACCATCATATACAGTCACATCTCCACCACGGCATGAAATCCATCTCATTCTAATATGTATAATAATAATAACAATTAAAAACATTTTGTATGCAAACGGCACTTGCTAAGATCAATCACATATCGTCTCGAGCATTCGAAGGAGACCCTGTCCTTGCTACACAATGAGACTTGCCACTGGCCTTCCAGTGGGCATTATTCTCCCAGTAGGAGATGATGTGGATTCTACGATTTCGAGTGCATGGTGGTCCATGGGTCTAGGAAGGCCGGCAACCGCCGCTTGCGTGGCTTTAGGGTTCATCGTGTGAACGGCGCGTAGCCGCTGAGCCGTTGCGTCACCGTGGCATTCCGCGTACCTGGCGAGAGAGGCCTGGTGCAGGTGGAGGTGCCCCAGTGCCACACAGGGCCCGGCCCGCTTCCTCTCCAGCCGACAGGGCGGTAGGTCGCTCATGTTGACGAGCAGCTCTTGCTCACTGCGGCTCAGGCCTCGGCTGCTGGCCAGGGGGGAGCCACGGGTCTGGTGGCCGTGAGGGCAGCTGAGAGGCTCTCCAGCCGGCGATGCTGGGTTACTGTCCTACGTGCCACCAGCAAGGGAGGATGGACCAAGCGACTGCACTGATACCCCAAAAGTACAAGTCCTATGCGAGGCGCTCTATATACTGTGACGTGCATGGCAAACTGTTCAAAGGAAGCCTTTGGTAATACATAACACAAAAAATAACAATGAATCTACCCAACTCTGCTGAACAGACACTGAATGTTGAACCAGTCTATAATTTGCTTGTATTGAACCCATAATGTGGATAATATGCACTCCTAGAAGGCTATGTGGCTTGTGGGATTTGTAAACAATTCTTTATTTAGTGGCGAGATAAATGTGGGAAGGAGGCATATTTGCTTATGTATTTTGTTATCCGTGGAAATGGATTAATATTAATTATAATGTACACCTCTTTGTGAATCCAGTGCTGGATACTGTGTCAGGCATAGAGATAGTTTTTGGCCATACTTCACCACTCTGGTCATTCCAGGATGTTCGTGGAGAATACCAGGACCAGTTTAGAAATAACTTGCCTCTGATGTCAGCTAGAGCTGGGAATCAAGCTCAGGTCACGAGGTTAACAGAGAAGTGCACAAAACCACTGCACGAAGAGTATTCGCTGCACGTAACGAGTGTATGTTAGGAAATAGGCTAGGTGCTCTTGACAACTCAAAGTGAAAATAGAGTATGTTGAAAAGGCCTGCTTGGTAATTTGCGAGAGTAATTTTTTTTTCTGATAGCATGTTTGAGCGCGAGACAAAGCTATCGTACCGAGCTGCTCTTAAAGCTTCCCTGTCGGCTGCTGTCCCAGCTGTCGCCTGGGGCCCGTTTGCTCCAGCACAGGGCATCAAACCCCATGATCCCACCCACGCCGTCTCCCACCAAGCACACCTGCCAGGGGACATGCGCACAGAACATGTGACCGCAAACGCATACACACCAAACGCATACACACCAATGCGATATTTGTAATCGTTAAACTGTTAGTTATTTCGTGAAGACTCTTTTTCAGGAGGGTCCTGCTAAAATGTTTTCAATAATGGATGACGATTGCTATGTGCATCTTAATTAAGTACGTTTTAGAGTAATATTTTCCAATGTAGCAAATGTATACCACGATGCCAGCACACAGCGGCCTACCTACTCTTTTGTTGAATGACATCATGCGATCTTTTAACGTCCACTGCAAAGCAGATGCTGCGTGGTACGTCATCGTTAATACACCAGGGTGGCCTCTGGGCTCGAACCATAAACTTCTGCAGCAGCCAATGAACGTGCTATCACCGGGCCGCGTTACTGCCCCAAACAATAACCCACAGTCGTAGATCGTGGCGTTGGCGGCTGGAAAAATAAAGGTAGCAGCCGAGGCATCATTGCCAGCTCGGTGCGTACTCGATGAAGGAAGTTTGCCACATGATGTTGCTTTGTACACTGGAGTATGTTGTTTTGATGAAGAAGTCATGATGGCCAAAGTCACTGCTGTTGTTTCGTTATACTCATTTAAACACGAGCCTTCCCTGATCACTTTCTGACTGTGAGCCGCTAGTTCTACCGCTGAGCTACCTGGCCGGTTTGCATCATACCGCGTACTTATTAAATTGGCTCTTACCTTTATTCGCTTTTGCTGTTCCTGTTACTTCGATTGCTAATTCATCATCAAACACCCTTTTGTTGATTCTCCTTTCTCTCCCATGCCTTCCTCCACACTTCTCAATGATGTCAGTCTTGTACCTGTCCTATGCCATTTGTATCCAGGGACCTGCTGTCCCTGTACTGTCCCTGTAATTATTTTAATTCCTCATCCCTTCCCTTGACGTTAAAACCCACTAATATTTCCTTCCCCTTCATGAAGGTGCCATCTGCTTACCTTCCCTTGAAATGCAGTGCCCTCTGAGGAGGAGAGGAAGGCGCGGTGAGCGAGGTTGATCCGGTGGATCAGAGTGCTCACAGCCTCCTGGTACTGGGGGCTGGATGTCGCCAGGAGCGGCAGCACGGACAGAGACGCCGGGGCCGAGCTGCTGGGCTCACAGCTCGCGTCAGAGCCGTGTGGACTAAGTCTGCACAGAGAGAGGAGGAGACCCTTCACATGTCTGTGCACACCATGCAGCGATGTCATGGTGGGGATGGAGGGATTTCCCTGGCTCTGCTTTTTTATATCCCTAGGACTGCAGTCCCAGTTGTCATCCCCAGAGAGGGTCAATGTATCCACCCGCAATCTGGATTTTTAAAAATGTCAATGAACAGTGCCAGGGTTGAGCCTGATTAGTACTCGGATCGGTGACTATTTGGAAGCAGCGGGCGTTGTAAAGTTCGAGCAAGGATTGCCGCCTCTCCAGGGTTTCACCCGGACCGTCCGGGAATTGGCGTCGGTGTTCGGGTGGCAGGAATTGGTTTGTGCAGAGATTTGGTACCGGTGTTGTGGTGAATTGTATTACCGTGTACTGCAGTTTTAATAGACTTAGACTGAGTAATATTGTCTGGGTTTGTTTTGTGGAAAATGTGGTAACCCGTGTTGGAGCTCGTTACACAGTGGCAGGGAGATGGAAGTACAGCAACGGATTCTTGAACCTCCCTGTCGGGGGCTTTGAGCCTCACCCGCTCCTCTGCGTGCTGAGCTTTCTCAGGGCTCTCTGGTGTCATGCTGCAAGGATCCAAAATCTCATTATCGATTCGCCAAACATCCCAGTGCAGAAGTGCCCCTCCTTGAGAGGCTTCCCAGTGTGAAATGCATATCGAAGACATTCCGGAAATATCACCTGTCATGTTTTCAAGTATTATTTTCAGCTATTTCGATCAATCTATGATTGGATGAAGGACTCCTCATGGCGTGTTGGTCATATACAGTCCTACCTCGGTATACGACCGCTTTGGAATACGTCGAATTTGGTACACGTCGTGTTTTGACGAGAACAAAATGTCTTGGGATACGACGTCTTGCTTGGGATACTAGGCGCTTGCTAGAACTTGTATGGGTCGGGATGAGTCGTCGCGTGCCCGCGTAGACCCCGTTCACGACTGAAACAAAGCGCCGCTCCTCAGTCTGCCTGTACAGTAGATCTCGTTCAGTGCACAACCCTTGCTATAACTCTTCGTTAATTTTCACGTGTTCTTTGTCATTTTAACGTGAGAAAAGCCAAGTTACAAAGAAAACGGTTAGGTTTTAATTTATTTTTGCATTTATTTTAATTTATGCATAATAATATGGGTTTTCCCCTTTTTTCTGGCAACAAAACTGAAACCTTTTACAAGGAATCATGTGTGCATTAACCACAATACTTGTGGTCAAAATGCAAACAAAAAACACACTATGATAATATATGCATTGTGTTTGAAACTGATTGGTCCACACCAGAGACGGCTTTCTTTTGAGCCTCGTCTCAATTGATGTTAGACCAGAGGACGCCAAAAGGCGTACAGCTCAAAGACAATGCACTATCAGAGTGATGAGGGCTCGGGGTAAGCATCTACATCATTAGACCTCCTTTGCCAGTACCAAAATATAATAATGCATATATTATCGGAGTATGTTTTTGTTTGCATTTTGACCACAAGTATTGTGGTTAACGCAGTAACATGATTCCTTGTAAAAAGGTTTCAGTTTTGTTGCCAGAAAAAAGGGGAAAACCCTATTATTATATTTTGGTACTGGCAAAGGAGGTCTAATAATATTATGTATGCATTTTGGTAATAAATAGTGTCTAAATTATGTTATACAACCCCATTAATGTATACTATGCCATATTAAATATAATTTCTTATACTCTGGAACGGATCATTTCCTTTCCCTGTATTTCTTATGGGAAAATTTATTTTGGTATTCGTCACTTTCGGTATAAGTCCTCCTATCTTCTGAAACGAATTAACGACGTGTACCGGGGTACCACTGTAGATTATTTTGACCATAATTCACCGCGCTGGTCAGTGCAGGTTGATGATACCTTTATATGTTATCCTCCACTACTGGAAATTTGATAAATCACACCTTGGTGTGAAATCTTACTTATAAATGACATTTTTTGTCTGTTTGTCTCTGTGTCTGTCTGTGTACGAAACTTGCGAAGGATTTGGCTCGCAAACCGTGGGGTTTACGTTTAAAAATAGTAGCCGGATACCACGCCATAAGCCCCATTTTCCCATCCGTCAACTTTAGAGTAGTTAAATGAATAATTTAGCGCCATGTATTATTAATTTATTTAATTACTCCGCTCAGCGCGCGCCAAACCACGCATTTGGGTATGCGCGACAAAGTTGACCGGGGGTTGCCCCTAACAACGCACACGCGTTCATTGGGAGGGGGGGGGGAATTATCTTTCACGTTAAAAATGCAAAAAAAATAAACACAACGCTAAGGTAAATTCTTCAAAGTGTCATGTCCTCTTCTCCCCCCCCCCCACCCTAATGTGTGCACTTACTACTATAGGGTCGGTAGATACTAATATTATAGCTCTTAGATACGATTATTGTAGAGCGGGCGGGGGGATGGTGTGGGGGGCGCGGGTAGCGGCCCAGCCCCCAGCCTGCCAAGGTGCCACCTCGACCGGCTGGGCAATCTAGGTGAGGCTGGGGGCTCTGCACGGGACTAGGCCTCACGACGGACCTATAGTCGGTAGATACGACTATAGGGACAGTAGATACTAATGCGGTCAGTAGTTACTAGAGTCAGTAAATACTACTATACAGTGAGTAGCTACTACTGGCTCAGATTAAGTAGTATCAATAGATAGTAGTATCAATAGATACTACTTAATCTGTTGTATGTAAGTTGTGTAGGTATATATTTACCTACGCGGGGGTAAAAATATTTTTTGAGGGGGGGGGGGGTCGATATTTTTCGGAAACCTTTTATATCAACTATTTACCCCCCACTTTCTATAACTTTTTGGAGTTCTGCAAGCGTCTTATAATTTTGTTGGTGGAGGAATGGACAAACGGTCCACCAGGCTTTCACAATAGCTTAGTATCTGTGTATGTATATGTAATGTTTTTAAGAGAAGTTTTGCAATTAATTTTTCGCCCGGGCAACGCCAGTACTTCCCGCATGTTTAATATATCTGTGTGAAGGTACACACATTTGTCATTTTAACTATTGCAAATAGACATAGTATTCAGTGCAAACACTACAGTAAATAAAGGAAGCTAATACGGTCAGAAAAACAATCCATTAAACGTACACACTTACATAAATTGTTCGTTGACTTTGGGTGTTGAGTAAATTTGTTTCATGGAATCACTTAGCTTGGGCTGTTTGCTGAGTAATTGTTGGAATGGCTCACTGTATAGGATTGTTTTCTTTGTTTTTTCCAAATTATTTTATAATTAAGCGGCGTCACACATCCAGAGATGAAGGATTCTGTCGGAAACTCTAAACAATTTTTTCCTATGGAGTGGAAAGTCCTTCACGTTGGCTTTTTATTAACCCAGTACTTGCAATTTTAAAATGCGCACGCGAGCAATGGTGGGAAAGCGATGAGGGCTCACTGCGTAAGGATGGCAAAGGCGCTGGCGCAGATGGGCGGACACGGCACTGCCCTCACGCTCACGCGCCCCACGGCAGCTGGGAAGTGTGCCCTGCTCACGGCGTCGATGGCCGAGTGCAGGCTGAGGGCGTCCTTGTGCGCGCACCGCGCCTCCGCGCCGCCCGCCTGCGCCGCAGCTCCGCTGCCGGAACGGCCGAACCTGGACTCCGTCACAAACGGCGCCCTGTCCCTGGACGACGACCGAGCTCCGAGGGCGCCCGTGAATTTTGGCTCCTGGCCATTGCCGTGCAGCACCAGCAGCAGCACGCGAGGCTCCGTGGCCCACGCTTCCCCTCTCCTGGACATGCCTTCCTGCGACAGAGAATGGGTACGGTTCCATCGGTCACGTGTAACACCGTGCATACAAATGTAAATGTTCGTGTCCAACACATCCATCGTCTGACTTGCAATGGTACGCTAGTACAGCAAGCGGATTAATTGCAATCTCTCCGGCGATTGAGCGTTACCCACCTCGCGCACGTCGGTTTTCTCCTGGTACTCCAGTTTCCTCCCACAAGTATAAAAAACGTATTCATGGAGTGGGCCAAACATCCCAATATAGGACCAAAGAGCTTGGGTAATTGTTGGTTGCGCAGGATGTGGCTGCCTCGCTGCATGTGTCCATGGTTTCCCATGCCTCCAAGAGAAAATTGTGCAGATTACAAATTCTAAAGAGTTTTAAAGATGCGATTTGTATGAATGGTCCTATGTGCGATCAAGGGCGGAGCCAGGATTTCAGGCCGGGGTGACATTCAACAAATGTTAATTTCAAGAATGATTAGAGAGTCAGGCTGTTGAACTAGACGCCATCGGTTGGCGACACAATCTGACAATGCAGTTGCACGGAGTCCGCCAGACCGAGTGTCATACACTTATATGCAGAATGTCACCCCTGTCACCCCCCCTGGCTCCGCCCCTGTGTGCGATACATTATTGTTGTATGTGAAGTTGTTAAAGGGTTATTGAAGTCTGATTCGTGTCGCTGGGTCCCTGTTTTATTCCTGTTTCCAGTAGAGTCAGTCTCGTGCTGCAAAAAGGGCTATGGCCGAATGGAGACGTGCCGCATTTTTTTCAAGCAGACATCTTTCATTAAAAGCACAATCATTGTATTCTTAGAAATGAGCAGTAAGATGGCTTTTGGGTCGACTGGGGAGTGCGGAAAATAAAAAAAAGTGAAAGTGCAGGGCCAGACAAGCATCATTACCTCTTCATCTTGGCTCTCCACACTTGTCTGCTCGGGAAATGTGGACGTTTCCAAAGAGATCGTGGACATATCACCTGCAACGTCAAAAGCAAGCAGCACTGCAATGAACAGGACCATTGCCGACGCGTTGATGAATTATTGGCGCGGTAAAATGCACAGCTTGTTTTACTGCACTGCGATTTATAAATCCTCAAAATTAGATGACATAATTAAAGAATTAGCTTTTCAGAATTACATAAGAGTATAGCCCCATTTGTTATAATTGTCTAGTATTGGATTGCTAAACATTGCATTATATTTATGAATTAGGATTTAAATAAGGATTAAGTATCTGAATAATTATATATTTTAAGCGTGTTTATAGGCATTGCTGCAATTGTTGAATCGAAGCTAAACTTTTTAAAAGTAATAAACATATTGTGCCAGTCATTGCTATGTTTAATACCGTAACAAAATGTCATATTGTATAATTTCTTGCTATTGAATAGGCCAACGTGATTTTCCGTGTCAAGTGGTTTTTGTTTATTGAAGGTTACATGTGCGATACTCTCATAATCTGTTGTAACACATGGATTAGAAACACGGACACTGAGAAATAAAAGCTCAGAGATGTTGCATACTGGGAATTACACTGCAAGACAGAGAGAGGAATACATGGATCAGAGGACAGATGCAAGGATATATGTGTTTTGGCAGGACGCATCACTGGAAGGGATGATGGCTGATGAAAAAGTCTGGTGATGGATGGCAGCCAAAGGAGATAACACGCCTGAGAGGACGGGAACCTTGGAGACGGAGTGACGCTGTTCCTGCACAAGATGGCAAAGAAGTCCGGGAGCTAAATGTCAATGTCGAGGTCTGCCAGCCACGATAGGGCTTCAGGAGAGAGTGTAGTTGTTGCTGTTCCTCCGCTGAAGGAGCCACAGACTGCAGTGGTTTACTATATGGTGCATAGTTAGTGTTGCATAGCCACAATCGCACTTCTGTGGCTTGTCTTTTAATTTTCCATTCATGAAGGGGATGTGCACATCGGCCTGTTGCTGTTCTGATGCGGTTAATGTACACCAGTGTCTTTGATGGAGGAATGTCAAAGCCAGGAGGGTTGCGATGTTTGAATCTCGAATGAGGTGTTTATTCTGGACGCCCGCATTGTGCCACTCTGCTCGCTAGGAAATTTTGTTTGTTGCGGTTGCACCCGACTTAAGAGCCGCATGGCTCACTGGGATATACCTAATAAATGAAACTTGAAAACTATTCCAGATCTCGGGGGATGGGGACTTGAATCGGTGGCGATGGACAGTGATGAGGTCGTAGTCGATGGTTGCTGTTGGCAAGAAGACGTGTCAATTACCTCTTTGGATATTTGGTGGTAGTTTGTTTGCCAGAACAGGGAGCCCAGGAATTTGCGTTAGTTTTTCATTGTTACGGTTATGATATACGCATTGCATTATTGAATTGTGCATGTAGATGTTTTGTACGCGAGGTTTCGGACCAGGCTGGAGCGCGGTGACTCTACCACTGAGTAGATTAGTGATCGGGTGGCAGTTCACGCCACATCAGCTGAGGTGCCCCAAATAATTCCTGCAAAGTTTCTGAGGCAGGGTGATTCTTGATTCGGGTGATGGAGCGAAAAGATCCTCTCATGTGCAGAGGCGAGATAGATTGTGGCATCGTGGAATCCTTGAGTCATAATAAGAACATGTACAGCGTTTCATCCAGCGGTGGATATATCATGAATGATGATAATAATACATCTAATCTCAATAGTTTGTGGACATTGCTCCTGAGCTCACTCTATCAATGTGAATGTACACTTCACATGACGCCCTCATTTATTTTGGAATCGGAAGCGTCTGCATTTTCTTCATGTAAATGCAAATCTGCACTCGTGTAATTTGTCATCCAATTATCCAACTCAATATAATGCAATGTTGCATGTTTTTGCCGATCTTGTGAAGGGGATGCTGACTCGATCGTAAAAGCCAGAGGCACGCGTTGGTTTAACGCTATACCATCGGGTTATCGTGAGCAGCAATGCAGTCATTCATTCTGCTTGCTATTTAGTATTCATTGTTACTCGGTGGCAATGCATAGCTAATGTGGTGACCATAAGAGCTATTTAATGCATTTGCAAGGTAATAAAAACCTGTCCTAACTCTTGTTGTAACTGCTGTGGCTAATGACACTCATGTGTACTGTGCTGTATTGTATTGCCAACGAACTGTGTTCATGCATGTTTATGGAAGTGCATTTCGTTTTTGTTTTACAATGTTGCTGAGCATAGGCTCAAGTGCTCAAAATGCAAATTTGCCAGCAATAAACAGCCACCGTGAAAGTTCTACACAATCGCTAAGGGTGCAACGCGTTTCCTGAATTGAGCGGAGGTTACTCTAAGAGCCTGGGAAAATGAGACGATGGATGGGACGGGATTCCAGTGTGGAGCAGTGCAAGGAAAAAATTACAAAGATAATTATTGACGTGACCTGCAGTGTGGTGGTTCAACACAGTGTGGATAAACCAGCCAGTCTGATAGATCGAGTCCTCAAAATGGGGTGGACGAATCAATAAGCGAAATTCACGGGCACAACAACCGTGGTAGTGGCGATATAAGAGTGATAAGGAGGTGACTGATCACTGCTGAGCGAGTGACTAGAGTGCATTAATGAGGGCTGGATTCTGGCATTCGGAGAAGGAAGTGTCTATAACCATAGATATGGTTCGCATTGCCAGCCTAGCACTGGGTCATGCCAGCAGAATAACAATGAGAGAAGTTTGCAGCATCTGGTTCAAATGAGCACTAAGGTGGTGCTCATCTCCCGTTCACAGCCCTGTGCCAGCGGTGGAAATTCCAGCGGTGAGAATTGCACAGTTCCTGTGGTGGAGGAGAGTCTCAGCATAGATTACATATTTGAACGTAATAATTCATGCAAAAAAATGCAACAATGCTTTATCATCCTACCATTGAAACAAAACAATCTGCATATTATATATTTTGTATAATCTCAGTTAACCTCCATCCATTTTATAATCAAGGTAGTATTGCAGTGTACTCAAGCAACATCTGGGAATAAGATTAGGAAAAATGCAAAGGCGACAGTTTTTTTTGTGTCGTGTACAATTTTAACTAAGCACTGTACGTGTCTGTAATGGTTATGTTTCGTGTTTTCAGTGACCGATAAAGGTGGCGGCTTGCAGGGAGGAAGGAGGATGCGGCATGCGCCGTCATCCCAGCAACAAAAGTACCGTGCACCCACTCCGTGGGACACCTACCCGGAGCATCCAGAAACTCCTCATCCGAGCTTGCGTCGGCTTCCTCACTGAGTCTCTGCATCTGTAGCTCTGGAACGGCAAAGACGGCGGACGTCACTGAGTAACGTGACAGAGGAGCCGCTCCTCCGCCTGATGTCAAACCCACACGGGCCGCTTTATCGCCGCGCAAAGGCAGAGAGAATGCCGCAGCCTCTACCCTGCCCACACGGAAAGCGCAGTGTCCATCATGAGGAGCATCATGCATGATGCATGGATATGGTTATTTTTATCTGAGCCCTCTTCCCATACATAATATGTTTTAAATCTAACGCTGCCCACAATGCTGCGTGTGGGTGTGTGCACTCTCTGCACCGGTTGTGTTTTTTGTTGTCAGTATATCTTCACAGCAACATCATTGTAAGCAATCATGATACCTTGTGTTGGGAATATACAGATGAGTCGAGATCGGGATATTACCTTGCATAATTACATGGGTTAATTCCAAAACCACGAATGTAAAAATTATTACAAGATTCTAGGATGTCACGACTTACTGTCTGCAGAATCTGGTTTTGTTTCATGAAATTCTGATTTGTTAAATTCATCACCCAATGTCTGTGCACACGAATGTATTAACACGATTATATATTTTAAAAAAATCGTTATGATGTTGTTGTTGACATTTGTATGTTGTTTTGATAATGCATATGTAATGACTGAGGATTATGAATCCAGTGCACTGTGCGTTTGCCGCAGTGCAGAGCAGTATTTCTACACTTGTTACTGATTTCTACTTTCACTGACACAATCCTTTAAATAACTAATGGAATCCTATCTTTGCAATGCATCAAAGAAGTCCCAGTCACAGGTTTACATGTGCATGGACAGTGCGGAAAGAGAGAGACGGTGCGTGGGTGGAGATAACGAGAGGATAGGGACAGTGCGTGGCCAGGTGGTCACGAGGGATAATTACAGGAGGGAACCATGGGGGGATGTTCGGGATTGGCTGAGACAGTTCGGGAAAGAAGGTGTGGCCGGGGGCGAGGCGAGGCCACGCCGGGGGGGAATATAAGGCGGAGGCTGAGAGCTCGAGGCTGCCCTCGGATCGGGATGGACTGTCTCTACGACGCCATTGTCTTCGGGCCGTTGCTGTCTCCATGAGAAAAACACGGGACGGCACGAGCATGTGCTTAAATGGGCAGTGGGGGACAGGGCTTGGTTATACTGCCGTCTCCGTGTTGTCGCTGTCTCCATGCGGTCGTTGCTTGGGTGCTGTCCTAGCCCAAGTATCTGTTGTTATCCTAGCCCAAGCATCTGTTGTTATTCTAGCCCAAGTACTGTATGCTAGTCATAGCTAAGTACGGTAGGATATGAGAGTACGTTATCTGCGCGACGCACCCTAATAAATAAAGAAGACAAAAGTTGTCCGAGAGTCATTACAACTGGTGTCAGGAGATGTCGAGATACTCAAGAAAGAAGAACCCACCTACTGCGACCTCGGACGAGGATGAAGATGAGGAGGAAACCCCTTCCCAGGCAGCCCCGGAAACAGGGGCCTCGGTGTACGAGCCCCTGGGCACGGCGGGAGCGATGGTGGGGACGGAGGAGGGAGCCAAGGGCAAGCAGCCTCGGGCCGTGGAGGGGTGGCGAGAGGTGGCGGGGAGACTGGATCTGCTCCTCATGGCCGTCACGCGACTCTCCCTGCTGCTGGACGCGATGGCGGCACCAGCGGGAGCCACAGATGCCACGCGACGGCGACCCGTCGAGGAGACGGGGCGGATGACGGCCGCCGGTGCTGCCACGGCATTGGACACATGCCGGAGCCCGCGCGGGGGGTGGCGGCCATCAGCCACGTGGTTGAGGCCAGATCAGCGCCGACCGCCACCTCCCACGCGGTGGAGCCCGCGCTGTCGCCAGCTGCCATCTTCCACGCGTCGGATTCCGCGAGAGCGGGGGCGACCATCGCCCACGCCGCAGAGACCGCGTGGTCAACAGCCGCCATTTTCCCAGTGGGGGAGGGGGCGTGATCAGCGGGCGCCATTTGCGACCAACTGCGGCTCCATCCCCAATGGGGCAGCAATGGGCCAATTAAGGACGCTGCCCCCTGTCAGGGAGTTTGTGGCAGCAAGGGGCGATTGGGCCGCCTTCACCCGGTGGTTCGAAGCAGCGTTCTCCTCGGTCGAGTGGACGGAGGATGAGGCCTTGCGGGCCTTACCCACGGCCTTCGATAATGACGCTCTTGCAGCATTCCGAGCCATTCTTCCGGAGAAGCGGGCAACTCTTCATCAGGCATACGGGGAGATGGCAGCGGTTTTCGACCCTCCTTTCAATGCACGGAGGAAATTTTTGAAACTGAGGCGAAGGGAGGACGAGACATCCCTCACTTACCGCAGTGCACTGATGGTGCTGGGACAGGCGGCATACCCGCGTATGGATCCGGCGGCGATTCACTCTTTAACGATGGAGAAGCTGTTGAGGTTGGCCCAAGAGAAGGGGGTTGTGCTGCCCATTGTCGAAAGGAGACACAGACATCCCTGTGGATGACCAGATGCCTGCAGGCCCATGAAAATGTAACCCGATGGACCCCGGTGGCGGCGTGGTGGTGGGAGCCTGGGTCAGAGGACACGCCGACCCGCCGGGCAGCCAAGAGTAATCCAAGGCTGGTGGAGGAGGAACCGGAGCTGCAGAGGGAGATGGCAGCGGCGATGCAGGGATGACTTCGGTGGCGAGGGGACACCCCGCGACAACCTCAGGGTTGGGTCCCCAGGGGAGAAGCGACCCTTCCGCCACGAGGTTGGGTTCCCAGGGGAGAGGTGACCCCTCCACCACAAGGTTAGGTCCCCGGGAGAAGGACGATCTCTCCGCCTCACGGACCCTCCATCTCCTGCTTCCGGTGTGGATGACCGGGACATATCATGCGGGGATGCCGGAGTAATGTTTAGCCCTCAACGTCCTTCTCGACATCCACCGGCCTGCCGACAATCCCGTCCCAGCCCCAACAGGCAAGTTGCGGCACACCGGACAATTTGCCCGTACCACCACCACCTCACATCCAGATTGTCATGTAATTCGTCGGTCAATCTTGCCTCCCCTTCACCCGTTGGGGTACGCGAACAAGGGGATCAGAATATGGATGGGTGAACAAATTCCTTTACTCAGTGGAGAAAATTGGCGCGTCGAGTGGTAGCAGCTGCGGCAGGGTCATCGGCAATAGTTGGTTTTCATTTAAAGGTTAGAGGTGCGGGTCTTTGTTGACACAGGGGCCTCAGCTACCATCATTTCAGACGTTATTTATCATTTGTTGCCCCTAAGAGATCGTCGCATTTTGCCAGTGGAAAATGCATGTGTTGCGGCTAATGGGGGGAGTATGAGCATTTTGGGACGGATAGAGGCATGTGTGAGAATAAGGGAATTGGAAGTGTCATGGCCCATTTTGGTTTAGAAGACGGTGGTACCTTTACTTTTAGGAATAGATTTTTTGGGAAGGATGCCCTTGAAAATTTTAACGGATCAACGCTGTATTGAAATGCTGTCAAGACAGCGTTTGTTATTTTTGAATGCCCCACATAGGAAACCAGTTCAGAATGCCACGGTTCAGGCCTTGGCAAAGGAATCTATACAGATTCTGCCAGGCACGCAAATGTTGATTCCCCTGCGCTACCGAAAACGCCTCCAGTTGGCTGACCCCGAGGAGGGGGTCCTTTTGATTCCATCAAATGCAGCGACCCGAGGACTCGCGTTAGTGGGGGCTCAGACAATCGTTCGGGGAAACCAGCAACCCTTCCTACAGGTCCTGAATGTGGGCCTGGGAGCGGCTGTGGTTCAGGCAGGGGCAGTGTTGGCTCACGCAACGGCAGCATGCTGCGGGGTTGTTGACATGGGGGCAGTTGAGGTCGTGGCCGCGATGCAACAGCGAGCGGAGCCAGAGGGGACATGGATGGAGGAATTATGTAAGGAGAACCCTGATTTGTTCCATGCACAGCGGACCAAACTTCGGTCGTTGTTATGGGAGTTCTCCGACGTTTTCAGTGAAGGGAAATTTGATATCGGGCGTACTAATTTGTTGCAACACCACATCGATACAAGTGATGCAGCTCCTATTCGGCAGAATTCATATTGAATGAGTCTTGTTGAAAAGGAACATGTACACCGGGCGGTAAGGGAAATGTTGGCCGTGGACGTAATTTCATCTTTAACCAGCCCCAGAGGAGAACCCTGAGTTGTTCGTTAAGCAAGATGGTAGCCTGCGCTTTTGCGTTGACTTCCGTAGATTGAATAAGGTTTCGGTGGCAGATGCTTACCCGCTGCCACGTATGGACGATTTCCTGGACACATTGGCGAGCGCTCTTTTTTTTCAAATCTGGACCTACTGTCGGGATTTTGGCAATTTCCCTTAGACGAATCGTCCAAGCCTAAAACGGCGTTCCGCACACTCCAGGGACTGTTCCAGTTTAATTGCCTCCCTATGGGATTACATTCAGCCCCGGCCACTTTCCAACGCCTTATGGAATTGGTGTTGGCAGGATTACAATGGGACTCTTGTCTTATTTATTTGGATGACATCATCTTTAGCCGAACATTCGACGAGCATTTGCAGTGGTTGCTGACGGTGCTCTCTAGGGTACGGGCGGCAAACCTTAAGTTAAAATCTGCTAAGTGCCATTTGTTGCAGACTTCCGTGCGGTATTTGGGTCATGTTGTCAGTATGAAGGGTATTGTGATGGATCCGGATAAAACTGCGTGTGTGCATGATTGACCAATCCCTAAATCGGTAGGCGAGGTGTGCAGTTTTGTAGGCTTTGCATCGTACTACCGGAGATTTGTTCCGCAGTTTGCGACAGTTGTCAAACCCTTGCATGCCTTGACGGGTAAGAATCAGAAATTTATATGGGGCCAAGAGGAGGAGGCCGCGTTCTCTGCGTTGCGCGATTGCCTTTCCAACGTGGACTCCTCTTGACTATCCGGACTTTTCCCTGCCGTTCATACTGGATACGGACGCTAGTAACATGGGTATAGGAGCTGTCCTGTCTCAGGTTAAGAACGGGGTGGAAAGGGAAACTGCATACGGAAGCCGCGTCCTATCACCCGCGGAACAGCGGTATTGTGTCACCCGTAGATAATTTTTGGCTATGGTGTACTTTGTCCAACAGTACAGGCCATACCTTTATGGCAGAGAATTTGTGGTCCGTACGGATTACGCGGCCCTCCAGTTCTCCTCTGGCCAGCTCTCTCAGTGGTTAGAAATACTCCAAGAGTATTCGTTCCGCGTGGTTTACCGCTGGGGTGTGAGGCACTGTAATGCCGATGCGTTGTCGCGCTTGCCATTAAATTACCCTTGTGCATGCTCGTCGGGTGCGGGCCGGTGTGGATTGCTTGGGGGAGGGTCAACTGGGGTCGTAGTGGCCTCAGGTGACCCGCCGCTCGCCGTAGTGGACGCACATAAGGACAACATGCTGGGCCTCACGCGGGCAAAATGGAGAAAGTTGCAGATGGAGGATGTCTCCCTCTTGTGACACCGTGTGGACCTTGATCAGAAGAAACACGGCCGTAAGGGGAACTCGCGGTTTGTCCTCCGGGCAGGGTTGCTTATGTGGTGTCATGAGGTTTCGGGCAGATTATGTATCGTAGTCCCCAAAGGCCTGCGAGGCAGGGTGACGCGGGCAGTGCACGCTGACAAGCTGATGCAACTTGGGCACCGGAAAACCTTGCTTACGGTGCAAAGATATTTTATTGGCCGGGGATGTCTAATGATGTCTTCCATTTCATTAAAGGTTGCACTGATTGTCCGCTTCGCAAGCCACCGGCGAAAAAATCTCAACCCCCTTTACAATCTATCACGGTGTCCTGCATTAACGAATTGGTTGCGCTGGATATCCTGGGACCCTTTCCGACTACGCAAAAGGGAAATAAATGTATCCTTGTTGGGGTTGAGTATTTTTTTTGGTGGCCAATGGCCTGACCATTGCCCGACCAAACAGCTGTATCCATAGCCGATGCATTTTTGCACGGCCATGTGATGGATAAGGGGGCTCATGAGCAGCTTCTCACGGACCAAGGCTGAAATTTCTTCTCAAATCTGCTTCGGGAAGTGTGCGATGTATTAGGCACAACGAGGATCAGAACATCACCATACCATCCCGAAATGGATGGTATGCTGGAACGTCTGCACCGAACCCTAACAACTATGCTGTCAGGTCGTTAATGAGGCACAAACGGACTGGGATTTCCATGTCCCGGGTATTTTGGCAGCGTACAGGGTGGCCCCACACACCTCTACATGATTTTCCCCTTTTTTCTCATGTATGGCCGGTAGAACGAAGCCCCTATTGAGGTGCAATTAGGGTTGGCCTTGAGAAAGAAGGGAGCGGCCATGCCCAGATTACGCTGCGACGTGTCTCGGAAGCTCGTGAAGCGGCCAGAGAAAACACAGTAAAGATGCAAGCTGTTAACGAGAAAAACACGGGACGGCACGAGCATGTGCTTAAATGGGCAGTGAGGGGACAGGGCTTGGTTATACTGCCGTCTCCGTGCTGTGGCTGTCTCCATGCGGCCGTTGCTTGGGTGCTGTCCTTGCCCAAGTATCTGTCGTTATCCTAGCCCAAGTACTGTATGCTAGTCATAGCGAAGTACTGTAGGATATGAGAGTACGTTATCTGCGCGACGCGCCATAATAACTAAATAAAGAAGAAAGACAGAAGTTGTCCGAGCGTCATTAGACGTGCATAGTTTACAGACTAAATCAGCTCATGCGCAGGTGCTGGATGGATGTTGCATCGCAAGATCGTGAGAGGTTGGAACGACTTGGGGAGGCCTTTGTTCAACAGTGGATTGATCACAGCTGATAATGATGATGAATTCATTCTCACATTATAATTCACAGCCCTACTTTACCAAGCTGGTCAGTACAGGTTGGCGAAGGGGGTGCCCAGGTCCGGTTCAAATGTCACTCAACACTGATGTTAGCCGAACCTAGGTTGCTAGGATTATAACATGGTGCGCTAACCACTGCGCCACCACTCCACCCCACGTTAGATTTAGTATTATTTATCATTCAAAAAATACTTTAAAACCAACAAAGCTAATGAAATAATACAGGAATGGGACTTTCTTTCCCATGAATATCCAGGGTTAGTAAAACATGTATTGCCTCAACAGGAATATAATAAACTAGCTCCAAAGCACATGTCATTACAACTGGCAATAATTAGGACACTTACAAGCTTACACTGCAAACATGGACTGCAAGGTAGTCATCGCGACATGTGGATGTCACTGAACATAGTTGTGATGCGTGTACACATTATCCGTGCTGGTCATGCTCATGGAGGGTTAATTATTTTTGAGGTTTTTCATGCAGATATGATAAGATCAGCAACACAACGCCATCATTCCCTACTTGTAGTGTGTGTGCGTGTAGCCTTCGTGTACAAACGTGCTTAACTGTGGACGGTTTTTTTTTAATGATGCGAATACTTTGTTCAATTATTCGTTCTCTCTTTGTGTTGCCACAAGGACAAACTATGCACCAGCCATGCTCTCCGGCGACACGACGTTCATCTGTATTCCACCGCAATACGGAGACTTTCATTCGGGCCACAATTCACGGGAAAGAAACGCAACGCGGCCCTACGAGAATGCGCAGGTTACATCATTGACTCGTTCCTTACCGCAGCCGATTGTGAAACCTTTACGTTGAACGCATCCCCATCGATGACCATCGCCGCACGCAACGTTTCTGGCGCTTCTGCGAAGCAAAATTCCGCTGCACCCCGTTCGCGGATTTCGTCCCTGAGCGTTGTGGTGCAGCCGTGTGCGGCACGCCGAGTGTGCTTGCTTGAGGTTTTTTTTGTTGTTGTGATTCATGTAGCTTTATTCATTGCAATACGTGAGTTTCCGACACAAGCTATCGTGCGGGAACACCTCGTTGTACAAGGTTACACGGAGTCAACACGTTAGCCATTGAGCAGCTAAAGTCGCCGATTAAAAATAAAAAAGTAACGTGCGTAACTTAAAGGTACAAATCGGAGAAAATGTCAAATTGGCGACGGCGCTGGACGATGACATTCGAGGGATGAGCGCGCCAAGCGAACCATGCGAAATTGCTCGGTAGAAAATCCCCGCGCCCTTCATCCGAACTCCCCTGCCCCCGTGGACAAATTGGCCGGTCTCACCGAGGGACATTGACGGCGACGTTCTCACAGCGTGACAACTCATTCAAAGATCGTGCCTCGCATAATGCACGCGTGGGTTTATACCAAATTCACAGCAGTCCCCTGTTGCACGGAATTTACAACAAGAAATACACAACGTATCGATCGATATGCCTTATGTTAACACCAACACAACGACAAAAAATCCCGCGCTTACCTTGCCATAAAATACCGTGTGCGAATTACATCCGTGTGTGTCTTTTTTTTCCTTCAAGAACAAGCCGAATGAAGAGCTGGGACGGGAATGAGCAGCAGACTTGAGAAGCTTGCGACGCCAGAGGACGGAGAGAGAGACAGGGACAATCGCTGCTCACACTGTCGGGAAATGCGGTGGAAGACGCAGGCGATCCCAACTTGTCAGCAGCGCTGCAGGCTCACCCAAAGAGATTGCACTTTCTGCTTGGAGCCACTCTGGATTCTGGCACGTCCCGAACGCATCGCCAAGGACTGAAGACTCACGTTCGTCCGCGAGCTGCGGCTGAGGCTGCTGCTATATTTAACCACTTGTGTTTACCAATGCTGTGTGCGTGGCCACGCCATGATTCAGAGTCCCCCCCCCACCACCACCACCACCCCGTGCTATGGCATCACGCCCCCACGGAAGATGCCTGTGGGAATGCCACAGGTTTAACTCCTGATCTGATAATGTCACTCTCACTGCTCCCATCGCCTCTTGTCACCTGCGTCGTATTTAGAAGTAAAAAAAATGCTACAAAGTACTGGAGAGCGACTCTTTCTCATGGGCCTGTGACCATCAATTGCATGACTGGGTGCTAATGAAGTTCGCGCAGCGGTAAAAAAAACATCGTGAACAACATCAAAATGTTCTTTATGTCAGTATTCTATAAATCCTGTGCGATATACTTGCAGTGTTGACGTGATTATGTACGAACATCGTTTAAAATGCGAATGTTTTACTGTCACGTACAGTGTAAGGTATTTTTAATTGTTTAAAACTAAACAAAGTATACATATAGAGAGGGGGAAACAACAGCGACTAACACGTACTGTCATGCCAACATCGTTGTGGCCATTTTGTTCTCTTGGTCAATTTTTCTGAGCTGTTGCAGCTCGTGGATGGCGCTCATGCACATCTTTCACGTTTGGAAGAAGGGGAGCGACACATGCAGGGAGCAGAGGGCAAGCAAGGAGGCCCTTCACCACGAGCGGTGGCGACAACAGCGAATGGTTCATTAATCATTGAACTGCATTAACCTGTTGTTGTTTTTTTTCCTATTGGATTGTTTCCCCCCCCCCCCCCCCACGTTTCCGCAAATACTGCACTCAATCACCTTCAATGTTTTGAGTGTTTCTTGCCGTGGGCCGACCACCCGTGTTTGGCATGTGACCTGTCGGCATACGTTGAAATGGAAATGAATATTGCAAAACAGTCTTAGTCCCTCGTTCCAAACTTTAACATTTAAAATGTGTCCAAATGTGCTATGCGCACTGGCATGAGGTCACAGCAGAGCTATCAGCAACGACAACAATTTGAAGATCAGAGCATGGAATATTGATACATGTGACAATATAATTTTTTTTTTCCTTTTGGGTTGCACGTAATTCTAATTTTACAGTAATTATTCTTAAGTTGGGTAATTAGGAAATGTACAGGTTCCAGGTCAAAGTTATAGTTTAAATAACAATACAATAATAATCTTTATCGAGTTGAGCCTCAATTGGGTTTGTCATTTTTAAATTGTATATTTTTAAATGTCCAAGTTTCTGATCCTATCACAGCAGGTAATATGTACGAATCTAAAACGCTCTTTCCTGTACCAATTGGTATGTTGCTTTTCATTATCAAATTATATTAACTTCAACAAACGCACTCCAAATCGCTCTCGTTCTTCACTTTTCATCCAACTGAAATTGAAAATGAAACAAAAGCTGCCTTGCAAAGCAGCGTGCAGAGATGCATGCCGGGAATTGCACTAAGAGACAGGAAAACGATCACATGGTTCAACGCACAAAGGTAAATTCGAGAAAAAAATGATAAAATATGTAACTTTTTTTTTTGTCCACACAGACACTGGGTGTTTTTTTTTTTAGAAAGGAAGGTGGCCGGTGAACGAGGCTGGTGATGGAATGGCAGCCGGAGGAGAGACGGCGAGACTGACAGGATTATTCCCGCAGAGATAAAGCCATATACAATTAGCTCCTGCGCTCGTTCAAGACGGATTGTGACATCGTGGTGGCCGTAAGGCATTACGACGACGCGGGGGAGCCTTCATCTAGCAATGGATAGATCATGGCTGAGAAGGATCATGATCATTTATCAAGCAATTTACATCTTCACGGATATTTTATTTTTAACAAGGCAATGTGTGCTGTAAATGTCAATATGATAAGCCACTTTTTTTAGATTTAAAGCTTTCGTGACTGCAGGGATTCATATTCTTGGTTCTTTCGGTAAAGTCACGTAGAAGGGAAATAATAAAATAATAAAAATCAAACTATTAAATTCTCACGACGTTTCGATTGCTTGTGTTGCAATCGAAACGTCGTGAGAATTTTATTGTTTCGATTGCTTGTGTTGCAATCGAAACGTCGTGAGAATGTTATTGTTTTATTTTTATTATTTTATTATTTCCCTTCTACGTGACTTTACTGAAAGAACCAATAATATAAGCCACTTTGTTGAGCTATCATTTGTGGCCAGGTCGCTTCTGAAAAATAAGTTAATACCTCAGTGGGCTTTACCTGGTCGTATGGGCATGGTTTAGTTTTATTTGCATATGTATGGGTAATTTGTTAACCTTTCTTGTACTTTGCACTACTATCTTGTTTTTGTAACGTTCTTACCCCGTGCCCCGACTGGACATCTGTGAAAAAGAGCTTTATAGCTCATCGGATTAATCCAGTATAAATATATATTTTCTGATTCTGATGGTCTGTATTAGGTTTTATATGCAGTATATTTAAAGTCGATGTGCGAATCATGTTTAGTTAGTGCGGCCTTATTGATCTAAAACGATAGCTTTATAAAATAAAACCAATCGTCATATATTTGGGGTATCGCATTTAACTAACATGGGGTCATAACAATGGTGAAGTCTCCCATGATTGCTAAATTGCAAGGTGAGTCTGTACCAGACTTCAATAAATCAAATAAATTACCGAGGCATATTTTTAAAATATAAGTTGCATTGATGATTTAATCATGAAAATTCTAAGTGGCACAATCACCATGACTTCTGCCGATTATTTATACTTGGATGAAAGCAGCTACACATTTGAAAATGTGAGGTATTCCAATTGTGCTCACATACTGTTAAGGTCAAGTGAAAATGTGTCAAAGAAACCATTGCAAAAGGTCGGTGGCTATCATTACTCATGCAAGCCGGGGGAAATTGATATTTTGAAAAAAGTTATTGTTCGTAACACATGCTGTTATGGTTTACATTCGGCTGGCATCGGGTCGCCAGCATTCTTTACAGCCGTTCTATTACTGGTACATGCATTCCGGCGTTTTCTGTAGTGCTTAACTGCAGAAACCCCCTTATTTTCAATGAACGCGACAAATCACAAAAACACCATAAACGCCCACTCCAGTTGCCCTTCCCGCCGCCGCGATGGGTTAACCAGCTCAAGAATGTAAGTGCTGGTGATGGATATCAGGCCAAAATAGGAATCGTGCCGCACGAGGCCTATAGTTGTTGTCGTGTTGAGCATGATGTGTGAAAGTCTGCTAACCAACCCATTCGTAACCACCACCACCGTAAGGCGGAGGTGAGATTTTCTCGGGTGCGATTTGTCTTAATTGACACTTGTGTAGCCGGGAAAGGCCTAGCTCAGTCTCTGAAGGTTTGTTTTCAGGAGGGTCCTGTTGAGTGTTGCTGCGTGTAATTCCCATTTAGTGATTTGCAGTTGAAATGTCAGCATTGGGATGTTTGACCAATACCAGTTATATTCTTTGGGGGGGCGGGGGGTTAAGAAGGAACCCGTAGAACCCGGAGGAGACCCGTGTAGAACAGGGGAATGACATTTTTTTTCAATTTAGTTTATTTATTTGGTATAGCCCTGTGAGCCATTCATACCAACTCCGCACAGAAAGGCAATTGAATCCAGGATCTTCTTCCTGTGCTACGGATGTCACTATTGCGCAGTCATCTTTAGTCTGTTGATGGTCGGCGATGCGGCAATTGACTCGTCTCGACGGGCTGAACGCTTGTATGCACCACTATGGTGCATACGAGCGTTCAGGGGTTCAGTGCAATCGTCCTCACTGCGTTTCGACATTCGGATTGATTGATACTCCAGTCGCGGAGTTAAGTACCACCGCTGGAAAAAAAGAGTGTCCCAGAAATAACGTATTTAATTTCCTCTGCCCATTTTGTATTATGTGGTACCCCGGGGTACCGCTATAACGATCATATGAAGTATAAAGTGAACCATGCGATCCGTTGCACTGCACAGCATGATGCCGGCTAACTGGAAGAATGCCCATTCATTTAGAGAACACTATGAATTTGCAACCTGTCATCCTCAACATTTCCCCAATTACAATGCCGTCATCTCTCGGATTCTGTCGTTCCCGTCCCACGACAATGCAGTCGTTTGTATATAGGATCTGACAACGGGGACATACTAGAACAGTGGGATACTCCCTGGAAGGCAAGCCAGGTTGAAGACGATGCGACACGATGGAGGAATATTGACTCAAAGACACAACACGGATGACAACACTGTTTGAAACAACATAAATCTCGCGCATTGGCGGGGGCCCGTGTATTGCTATGGAAACGCAGTGCACTTACTGTAATAAGGACATTGGTATTCAAGGCACACGCCACGCGAGGAATAAAAAGCTCCCTTGGACTTTGCGGCAATGCAATTAAGGCAGCTTTCGTGATGGTGCCACTCCCTCCCGTACTCCACACACCGCCGATGCCGAGGGGTTTCAGATAATTTTTTTATGTGTGTACCGTTTATTGGGTCTAATCCACTTCCAGAGGCAACATGTACTCCGCTTTTAAAGATTGCATGGCTAGGAGTCAGATTTACAATCAATCGTTCGTGCCGCGTAACACAGCAATGAACAACGAAATGTTTGCCAGTTACAACTACAGGCACAATACTGTTGTTAACAAGAGGAGTTGTAATATATCTGTAAGTACAGCATATACCAAAACATATCATGAATGGGTCCAAATCTGTAGTTTTAATAGTTGGCTCAGAATGATAGCACTTTTCCGTAAGAATGTAATTTCCTGAAAACAACATTAAAATGATTGAAGAACTCATAGCTTGCGACTGAAGCATAACGGCAGAAAAGTAAGTTGATTGAAAATTCATAAATAATAGAAACTTTGGGAGAGAGATGGAACCATGACACGATCGAGATGACATTTTAAAATTAGCGGAGGAATGTTATACGCATATCCATAGCAAAATAAAAGTATCTCAAAAATCAAACCGTTTCTCTAATGAAAAAGAGGAAGCTACACATGTCACAATTGAAGAAATAAACGATGCCTTTGAAAGTACACCACAAATCGAGGTGTCCTGGACTAGTTAGTGTA